ACTCAAATTGTGGAAATTGTCTTTTATGGCTTCACTAAAAGCACTATGTTGGGCTTTAATATTTATATTACGAATACGCTTCCCGCCCGGCACGTCTCTGCCAAGGGTAGTTTGGTAGAAGGAAGAACTGAACGGAAATTTCCTTATAAGTGAAAAAAAAGATGATTTGATTGTGTGGATCATGGCCTCTTAGAAGTAAACTCTTTCTGAAATGCGGTGTACCTAAAGGATCCAAACTGGGTCCAAAATAGATTTTCGGGCTTTTAACCGCTCTAAAGTATCTAAGCCAAGCGTTTCAAAGTTTCTAGTTCCCAATTACTTTACAGGTCGACACAATTTAAAAAGAAACGCTGAAGAGTCTGAACTATAACTGAATAGCTATTTTAAAGTCGTGACCAAATTGCTCTCTTCACAGGCACAAAAGTTTGCAATCATTGTTGAATTGCTTCTTGGTGAAATTCCCGACAGGGCAACGTTCAGAGATCCTGCACTGAAAAAGACCTTGCTTCCATACTTTCAATTGACCAAAGGTTAGAATTAGTAATAATTTGAATCGATTTGCGAAAATGCAATGTGTACATAAACATCGCAATAGGTTGGGGTAGGTTACCGTTTAATTTGTCCACCAATTTATTTACATACATTTAAAATGTTTCTCGCTTCGCGCCGAAGGTCATATACAAAGTAAACACTTGTTCGCGATGGTTCGATTCAAGAGCCTCACCAGGGAGTTTATCATACAAAGGTTCTTACGTTTGAAGGTCGAGTCGTTTTCTTTGTATATTTTATGCATTTGATTAACATTCAGGTTTACGAAAATGCATTTTACTAACCACAGTCATCTTCATCCGAATTATCATCACAATCGTCATCGCCATCACACACAAGTGATTTGCTTACACATTTCTTGTTCTTACATTGGAAAAAACCAGTCGAACAATTGGTTGGATAAACACCTATAAAGCAATAAATTAAGGTTGGTTTGCATCACCACGTGCAAATGATGATAATCCAAAAAGGATTCAAAGTTCAGTTTGCTTCAGAGGACGTTTAGCGACGAATTAAAAAAGATAAGATAAGATAAGATAATTATTTATAAACTTACAGTCGTGTTCATCTTCACCACCCAGACAATCGTTTTCTTTGTCACACCGTAGCAAACGAGGTATACAGATCCCATTGTAACATCGGAATTGTTCAGAAGAGCAGGTTGTAAAATCTACAAAAATATTGTTGAAAACTAATTTAGGCACGATATCGTTTGCCTAACTCTAAGGGTCGAATCCATGTAACATTTTTGGTGTTTTTCCATTCTATTTCCAATTGTATTCCTACTTTAGATGATGTATGGAAATCTTTGAGGGCTTTTAGTCAAGGCGATGAAAAGTTCTTAAACGTTTCTTCGGCCAACTGAAACAGTGGCAGACACTTTATGGAATATTAGGGGGAGGGGCTCGGGAGGAGAAATATGTTAAGGTTTGCCGTTTTTCAAACCCCCCCCCCATTGCATTTGTGAGAAAACATTTCGTAATAAACTTCAGTTTTTGTAAAAAATTAACTGAAACCTCGTTCCACCCAAAACGCTATATGAAACCTATTTATCAACAGGCTAGTAGAATAACATAACCTATAGTGCAATGCATGGGGGCGGGCTACAAGGCGAAGTTTCAAATCGTACTTACTACACAATGCTTGTTTCTCATCACTCCCGTCATTACAGTCAGCGTAATTGTCACAAGTCCATTCTTTCTTGATACAGCGACCATTCCCACACTTGTGTTCAGTATCACTGCACTCTCCTGTGTTTCCTAAAAAGATGTTGAATGTCGGCCGATGATTAGGCAATACAATACAGGCTGTTCTCATAAGAACCATTCACCAGGGGTGAAATATTCAATGACTTTGATTATTCTGTTTGAGCGAATCTACGTCAACAGATTTAACAGCTGAATAGCCCTACTGCAAGTGAATATAGTGAAAAAATATACTAGCTAATGAATAGCGCCATCAACCTTGCTGAAATGACCCCAATTCACATAATATGGTTGCCATGACCTAGTTAGTTGTGCGAACAAGGGCCACATACATTCTATAACTGAAGTTGACAGACAAGACAAGAAGCTGCAGTGAATTTCTCAGACATCGTATTCAGTTTTACATCAACATCACCATATAGTTGTTCAAATATATGTTGCGCCCTATTTGTGGGAAGTCGTTCAATATGGCCGATAATACTATAATGATCCTGAGTGCTCCTGATAAAATATTTTTATCAGGATTACGTTCAGGTGAATAGGTATGTTCATAGGTATGAAGATGGAAAACCGTAAAACAATTATAAGAGAAATGGAATGTGAAAGAGAGAGATCTCCCTTCTTCCATGTCGAAAAATACTCAGCTTCGCTATTCTGATCAGGAAGAACTATGATATGGAAAGCCGGATGAGTATGTCGACTACATTTTAAAAGCTACCACTGGTTGTTGTTGAAATTTTTGACCAAGTGTACTTAATTAATGTAGGCATGTATTCTTCCGCTGAAGTCATTTCCTGTCTTGATCACTTTCGATGCAATCAAAAAACAGGGGTAGAAACATATTGTAGGACTTACCCGTGGTTTAAGCAACTCGTTAAACATGTCACGTATGACACGGTGCACACAGCTAGAAGCCTGACCCGACAGCTGATTCACATATATGTTTGCGTCTGTGTCATTATGCTTCATCCTGCCGCCGGAATACTAGCATAGACGAACTCAAATGACAATAGATCTTTCTCTTATGACGTCTAACGCGGAAAGTCGGATGTTAGCTACATACAGTTTGATTTCGATCAATGATAGTTTCGATCAATTTCAGTCATACTAAAGTTACTTTTAACGCAGACTTTTGAGTTTCGCAAAACACGCTGTACACGTGTGCAAATATAGCAGGCCTGGTGTTACTACAGGTGCCCAGTTGATATGGCTCACGTATGCGATAGGTTTTTTTGCAGTACCTTTAGACAGCTTGGCCAGGAGAAAAGATCTTTATGTATATGCGTGGCAAAAATCCCACGTGTGCAAACTATGTGAGCTATTAGCTCAGGAATGAAGGAGCCAATGAAAATCTTTTCTCACGAGGTTAAAAATATTAATATACCTTGTCAAAAATGCCATTAACATCATATGATGATATACATTAAAAATGCTTAGTGGAAAAAAATTGATGTTTTTAACCGTAACTAGGAACTACTTAAGCAATTTTGGACATTTCACTTCCAGGTGAATATCTGTCATCTCAAATTAATCCCGTGACTCTCTAGACAACCACTTTCACATGGTTGTGCCTCTGCAACATCACTATGTACTCAGAAAAAGATGCTTTACATCAACAACAAATGGAACAGTTCAAGCACAACTCCGTAACAGTCTAAAATATAGCTGACCTTGACCGTCATTGATGCATATTATTTCATGCAAATTCAGCAACTACGCAGCCATAATTCCTATATTAATATTGTCTGGTATGTACTTCAACGGTTGCTATGTATGTTAGATTGTCCGAGTCTATTTGAAGTGGCTATTTTTCAATATTTACATGGCTGCCAGCTGTCACCACGTAAGCTTAAAATTTGAAAAGATTCTCATAACAACTATTTAGCAAAAAAGCTCTTTTCCATTTTATAAAGTATTCTGAGCGGAAATGAGAAACACTGAAAACGTTCTTGGTGATACCCAGCGAAGTTTAGATGACAGTCTAAAAATATTTAATTAACTCAAACTCAGAGGGAGAAACGAATACTAAATATTCGGGAAAAAGTAGGAACGTAAACAGCAAAATACATCAAATTGGCCAAATTATTGTACAAGAGTTAAAAACGGATATACGTTTCGGAAACGATCTCAAGCTTTCAAATGATAAGTACAGGAGTAAGCTAACGCCCCCCAAAAAACGCCTCCGTAATAGCCAATGAACGCTCGCATTTAAGCAAGCCTTCGCAACGCCACAATACTCCCACGTAAAATATTAATTCCACGATAAACAAACTAACGAACATACGCAGTTTAATACGCACAGAATACCCCCAAACTATAACTGCTTACAGGCAGCTATAAGTTACTGCTTACTATATTTCCTATTTCAAAAAACCGAGCAATTTGCGATCATACGTTGCCTGAAAACGTTTAGAAAATAGTGTTAAATTCCAAAGATACACCAGACGCGATGAAGCAGAAGATTATTCTTGTCCGGATACTAGTAAAAACCGAAATAGCCAGTTTATAACTATGCTTCTCGTTTGTTATGTAATTTCTCTTTCATTTCAAATATATTATAACTGCGGGAAACGGTAAAACGTTGTTTTAGAGATGCCAGATCTATTAAAGTAGACTCGCTAAGATGAATAGTGGAGGGACATATAAGGTAGAACGTATGTTGAATATATAAATCTTTACTGTCTGCGTGGCAATTCTGTGCAAATCTATTCAGGTCTGGTACTGTACAATCCATTAAAATAACATACCAAACAAAGCACATTTAGAATAGAAATCAACAAAGTATAGTTAAATTTCGCTGTTACATACAACACACCACTAGCCACTATGTTGACTACAAGCATTTTCCGACAGATTCGTTTTAGGTATCGCCGGCCCAATAAAGAGGCCCCATACCTACACGTCGACATAAACATAAACCGTTAAAGACTTTCAACTTTAACAAAGTTTAACATACCACAACTCTGCTCATCGCTGCCATCACTACAATCTGCCTCGCCATCACATATAAACTTTTCAGGAATAGACGAGGACGTCCCTTGTGGACCGGCTGTAGCGCACTGACAGTCACCGTTTACATCGCAATTCAAGGCTGAAAGAAATGCAATCAATTTATTTGAACAGATATGTAAGTAATATTACACGATTCTAGACTCAAAAGTTCTTTCAACGTTTTTCAATTAAATATTAATAAAGGTTCCTCCCTTACTATAAATTGAAATCGTTTGAATTTACTATACAAAATACAAAAAAGCGTTCTCTTGTCAAAATCTATTTTCCTTTACGCGATTTTAAGGTGATCACCTTAAAACTAATGCCGAGAGTTACATCATTGAAATCTGACACCGTATAGTGACAAAATGGAAAAGTTCCCACACAATTTGTGCACCGATGTACAAACGAATGACGATATCTTTATAGGTTCTTAACATTCACTCGCTCAATAGATATATATTTACCTGAAACAAAAAGCAATTTAATGCTACATGTTATAAGAAAAAGTCCATAAAAGAGCTTCAAATTTTTCCAATAAGAAGGCATTCTTTCTTGAACTCAAGAAAGTCGTAATAACTTTGAACAACAAAATTCCTCGCTCTGTTACAGCCAAACAGAGTATTGCCAATCTGCCGTTGTTTGTAAATCCTACCGCATGTATTTTCAGTCATACGATCGTGACGTCATAGGTTTTAGCCAATAAGAAGCCTCGCTAGGAGTATGGCGCCATATTAGTGGCATTAGCATCAATCGTACGATACCTTGTAAATAATTTATTACACTCAAATCTTGCAAAAAACTCTAACAAAACATATTTATATATTCACAGAAATGTGTGTATTTAGAGAGTAAATTTCTATCCTAGGTTTTTAGAGCATTGCCATTGGGACAGCATTTTTTGTTTCCTTCATACGCAGCGTTTCCTTTTTTTTTGTATTTAAAAATGGCAGCTACACGGGAATGGCATGGCATGGGGCTTTCCTAGCATCGCCAATAAATTTCAATTTTTTAAGTTGGCGAGGTTTTAGGACATTTAGACTCAAAACTGATTTGGTTTTTCATACGAAGACAATTTAGGCAAGGCATTATTTATAGCGATATAGCCGGCATGATTCTGAATGGCAGTGACGATGCCAATAGCAATGCCAATGGCAATGGCGATGCTTCTTTTAAAAACTCAGTTAACAATATTTTGTTCAGTTAAAAATACTAAAAAAGGCAAACGGTTAAACATTGTCAAGTTTTCTCAAGTCACGATGTTCAGTAATTTCGAGATTTCAATAGCATGCAATCAGTTTTGAATAGGGCCATCTTGAATTAACAGACACAGTTTTACAGAAATTGCTTAATAGTTTTCTGGAAAATTTCCAAAGACAATATTGAGCACATGCTTCTTCTTAATATATAGGCTACAGCCTCATCAATATTATGATACAATCGTAATATACTCAAAACATCGGAATGGTCGAGTACGCCACCTATGAGCAGAATAGTAGCTTTTGCATAGTATGCGCAAATATATATTTTTATGTTGGTATATGTATTGTTAAGAACCTATTATGAAAGAGTGCAGTGGTAATTGCATACATTATAGCATATGGAACTAATGTAGACGAAACAGTACAGCAAACACGGAACCAGCGCCCCACATGATAACGTTTAAAGTGACGTCCCTTCGTAGTGGAGCGTAAAACTAGAAAAACATCCTATAGTCCTGTAAGAAATACATCAGTGGAGTGCATCATTGGATGAATAACGCATCATGTCTTGTTATTTCAAACATAGGTTAAAATCATTGTTGTAGGGTTGTGTATTGGAGCATAATTTTGAGATTTTACAGCATGGATTGTAGGATTGTGGTATATACCACTGATATATATACTAGAGTCATGCATGTTGTAATACTGTATAAATAGCCGAATTCATATTAGAGACGGAAAACTCGTCTGATGTGACTCCGGACACAGACAGGTCTCTCGTCCGAACTTTCCCGTTTAACTCTCCCGTCTGGACGAGAAACTCATCTTAAATTCGCATTTAGACGGAACAAGGGAAAATTTACAAAATTATCATCGTAGTGATTACGATATCTTTTATAGCATTACCCGACCCATCATAGTAGTTCTTATATAATGAACTCTCCCATGGAGTAAAGTCGTGAGTTTCCCGTCCCTGGCCTAATATTCCTAGAGTGTGCATGAGATTGTGGACCAGCGAAACAGAAAATCTGATTCGTTTTGAGATTTTCAACAAATCATTTACAATTCTCATTTCTCAGTGCTCTTTACATACTATATTACTATAGACAGTATTGAGTAATACTTGCGGTAATATATCGCGTCAGTAATCATTGGGCCGCATGACACTGGTAAAAGAAAATAGAGGGAATTGTCAAGATTATATTATTTATTCATGATGTGTCTAATATTGACAAGAAACATGTCCTGCACTGTCACACAGAAAACTCATAAACATTGTGCCACACATCACGGATAGCTAATATACATGTCCGGCTATAAAGTCTTAAAGCATTCAATATACAGCTTCTTTCCTGCCTGCCAATTGCAAAGCTATACCTATATAGTATGATGACATAAATGATACCTTGTACACGCAATGAAGAAGTCAGAGGTGGAATTAAACATGAAACTAACTGAAACGCAGAACTAAAAGAATCATGATTTTTTTATCACTTAGTCTCTTTTTTACAATGCTTTGAATTGCAATCCACGGTACTGAAATATAAATGAAATGTTCACAATAGCTGATTGAATATTTAATTCTTCATAAATACTTCAGAGGCTTCAAATTTAAAGAATTTTCTCGCTTGGCGACAACCAGTGGCGAACTGACGCGTATGTGCATTGCGTGCACCAATGCACATTGTCATGGAAGGCGTTTTTTTAACCTTCGTTAATGCATTTATAGTCTTCATATATTCTGAAAATCAAGTGTAGGATTGGAATAATACCCTGACCATTTCCATTGAATGGACAATGGAGCAGAGTATAAACGTTGTGAAAATTGATTGTACATAATGCGTGGTCAGTGACCATGAACGTCCAAATTCTTGGTCTTCAGTTCAGACCAAGCTTTAAATCATTTGTACTCATCTCCAGTCAGACTTAACATGGAGGCCTGGTGTTTTGCCTACTTGCTTTCCAAATGACTAAAAGCGTGATAATTGATAAAGGAGGAAGTAAAGCGATCTGGAGAGGAAGACGAAACTATGCGTTTATGCAAACAATATTGTATCGTTTAATCAATACATTTTCACATCATAATTCAACTTTATTTTAGCAGAGTCATGGAGTTAATTGTATTGTATTGTGATTCCTTCAGCCTACGTATAGCTCTAGGATATAATATTTAGTCATAAATAATAATAGAATACCAATACCGCTCTCGACCATGACTTCGCAAGTTCACAAATGAAATGTATATTTTTAAAAAAATAAATTCTACTTTTCTAGAAAGCGAAAAGTGACACTTTAGCATCATGTACAATATTGTATAACATGATCATGGACTTTGCTTTGCATGGGAATTAATTTCAATCGAAAATCGTTGTTTTCCTGGAGTGACGCTGGCGCGGGCTTTTAGCCCGTTCAGAGCGTTATAGCTTTTGTTTAAAGGAGTAAGGCTTGTTTCATATGTCTTGCTTCTCATTTTCTCATGTGCCGAATCAGCCGAAACAATAGAAAAATAATAGAAAATCAGTTGAAATGCCTGATTATCTATTGTTGTTAACGGGGCTGTATAGGATTATGATCAGACAAACAACCCGGCGGAACTTTTTCCATTTCCTTGTTATGATGATTGACGCAGTGTACAAAATAGTCACGCGCACTTTTAATTCAAGAAATCTGCATGAGAAACACGTGTTGCAGATCTATATACGGTCACATGGTCTTAAATATAAGCTTTTGTGCTTTAAGGTGGTTTAAACTGGTTTGCCAAGGCTGGGATTAAATCAATGCTGACGTCTTTCGCCACCCGCGCAATCATATCATTCCATATTTAGTAAAATTAACTTCACTAACATTACTGTAAATATATAAATTGCAAGCAACCATTACTCCAGTATCGTGAATCAGTGTGCATTTAGGTACGTATTCTGAAACTTTCTGGTAGTTTTGGTTATGAAAATAATTAAAAAGAATAGGGGAATCCTATAGGCTTGCTTTTAGGGAAAATATATCTGAAACAAAGGAAGGTCGGCCATCAGAACCACATTCACGCGTTAATTGCGTGGTGAAGATGCAGCAGGTAATTAGCTAGATTAATCAGGATTAATGAGCTGGGATGCGTCACTAGCTCACTAGATATTGTTTAATCCACATTTGGCACACGAGGCGAAGTAGGCAAGGGATATTGAGCTAGACTCATCAAATATTGTTTTCAAAACGATTCACGGCAAATGGAAGCAATGATCATTTTAAAATACCTATACGTAAATCTTACATCGTAATGATCGTATGATCGTCGATCGATACAGCTTATTATTGAGAGGTGATTTATTGTTTAACATCTAGGGCAACAAATGCGTACGACAATAGGAAAACTAAGTTTTTTCGATTTATTCACTTATATTCACATATAAGCAAGCACTTAGACTTTTTCGTGCGTGTACGTGCGTATGGAAAATGCGACAATGGAATGCAGCTAGCCCTTACTTTGTGGTCTGTTACACAAATTAGCCCACAAATTAGATCTTATCCTACGTGATTTTGTATCTACGTGATTCAGTTAGATTAGATTCAAAATCACGTATTCGGTGAGAGTTGATTACATTCTATTTTCATACCTACTTTACGTAGATAGTACGCCTACTATCGCGTTATTTGCGCTGCCTGTTTTCTGTGAATATATATGCATATATATATATATATATATATATATATATATATATATATATATATATATATATATATATATATATATATATATATATATATATATATATATATATATATATATATATTGTGTTACCCGTGACATGTTGCACGTATCTGCTTTACTAAAAACATTCCTGAAATTCAAATTTCAAATATCAAGACAAAAGAGGGAATTTATCTATCAATATCGTATTAACCATGATCATAATTATCGCATTATTCGCCTTCTGCTCCCGAAATTTTACGTCATAATTTAAATCAACTGTATAATCTTTTGTAATAATACAAAGTAAATGTATGTAAGCCTTCTGCGACTGTTATATTGATTTAAGGTCTTTATGCCTATATGAATGCAAGGGATGATTACTAGCACAATACGAAGTTTCTAGACTGTTATAATGGCATATATATGAACTATGAAGTTGTTTTGCAACGTGTCATTCAATATAATTGCCTATATTATATATGTAGGCTAAATTCCACTGCAAGTTGTCAGAAATGAGTAAAAAAAATTCGTTGACGCTGACTATTGCATGGCATTGCGAGAGGACTATTCCTGTAATGATAAAATGTCATGAATCGACCTGCATGGCGGATACACATCAAGTAAACTACTTACAACGCACCATACTGATAAAATGTGGTTTATAGATATATACAATGTGAAGTATTATAATTATATACAACGCTACAAACTGAAAACGAAACTGAAAACTCCATGTATTTCAGTTTACATAATTTTAAACTTTAGTTATTATATATATAGTAAAGTGACTGTAGATATTGTCGACTTCCGACAATTTGAAGATCGACACTAGAAATTTATCAAGATCCAACTGTTCAGAAACCTCCGCCCACTTCCGATCTTCATCACCCATCTCACGAGGAAAAAATTTCGACAAAAAAGCGACGAGACAAGTGACAAAAGAAATTAGGATTGACTGGATTGTCCCTTATAAGGCCAGGAAAGTGGCCAGTTGACATTTGAAACCAGTGAGAAACTTCCACAAGATCAAGATCATCACTATATATATTATAACCGTGTATGGAGGGACAGGGCAATACAACAATCTTTGACAAGTTATTTCCCCATTTTGGCCATTTTCCGTAAAAGGACAGGCCGATCTTCGGCTAACTAAACAGAACTTCTATGACTATGGTCAAAATAATTCGTATGTATTTCCTTTAAGAAGTAACTTGAGCCACAGTTAATAATGATCCTTCGCTTCCTTAACTATAATTCAGGACAAATTGTGAAGTAACAGACAATATCATTCCAAAATAGTAATAAATCACACACTAAAAGAATGGTATATACATATCGTAGTGTTGTGGTGATTGTTGTGGAAATTGCGTTTTAATCCTTAGCTTTCTCTTAGCCTGACGCCGTTTGTCCATAGTAGAAATGATCGTTTATATTTATAGCATATATTTCATTCAAGTATATATTTCACATTCAGGGTACGAAACCTTACGTGATTGTTTGCTCTATCAGGGAATTTTCTGGGTTAAGTACTTTGTTATTCTTTGAGGGGATTTTACAACAAAAAAATGCTGAAACGTGCGATTAATTTAAAAAATGGAAAGAGATTAACTTAATCGACAGAAAAAAATGCCGTTATAAGTTATTTACGATTAGCATTCAACACTAAAATTGAACATGGAATCTGCACAAACAGTACATACAATAGAAATAGCTATCACTTATATATTGTTACACGCATATTAGACGCGCCTATATCGTAATGGACGTTGGACCATCATCACCAATGAACCACTTAGTCTATGTTCAGATCAGTTCATTGCATAAAATCATCCGCGTAAACGGCAATTGCCGTGAGGCACGTCCCCGTAGATTGGAAAACGTTGTAGTGTTAAACAGTGACCAATCACTAGACGGCCATCTGACTTCTCCATAATGTAGATTGTAGAATATCATAAAACTGATGATATTAAGTCCTGTTCTTCGCCATATTCACCTCCTGCTGGGTTATCGTATGAAATACATCTTCCACTTCATCTGGTGGTATATCCTTGATTGCCTCTCGTTTTTCATTTAAAGCTTCCTTGGCCAGGGTTTTGTTGCGATAACGTTGGCCTGCATTAAGCCGCAGCATTCGACGATGCTACAAAATAAAAAATTGCTTGATAGAATGACCTCGGAAGATCTGAAGTTTCTGTAATCACAGCTAAAATTTTGCATTGGTATACCCAAGGTTATACCAAATATAAGGGCGTAATAACTCGAGTTGCTAACAATTGTATATAGTTCCTACAGATATTTACAGTAAATCCCATAAAATGTAGAATATGTAGGATTAATTTGCGAGAAATCACGAGTAAACTGTCTTTTTTAAAATAGAATTATTATAGGTGGGGAGTAGTACTCCGGTGGGTAAGGCATCTTGAAAATCACCATAGAGTTTGCAGAGAAAAATAACTTACCTCGTTTGGAGAGACATAGAGTGGGTTTTCATATAGAGTTGCTCCACCAAAACTTCCTTCAAATATCCGAACAAGGTTTAATACAAATCTGGGACCTGAAGTAGACATGTACGATGATATACCGACGTATTATTGGAGAATTGGGTGATGGATTAATAATTGTTGAAAGCCCGTAATAATAAAAATTTCAATAATTCTTTTGGGAAAACCCGTTTTTTCAACGATGATTGATAGCGAAATAAACGAAACTGATTTCACTAACCTATCTCAAGAAGAGAGCCATCCTGAATGATCTAAACAGGTATAAAAATTTATGACATTTATGAAAATTATCCACAGCAATCAAATTTTGAAGCATTGATTTTGATTGAACTGGATGTGTCACTGATCTACCATCTACATATTGTTTAATAAAAGTATACAAAAAAATTAAAATTGAAGCCGCTATCTTGGTGTTTCACTGGATGCGATTTCTCTTGGTTTATTCATATCAACGGATATCACCCAGTGAAATACCACCTGAAAACGTCAAATTACCTGATAATTGCGAAACCAAATACGGTTGTCATTAATGCTAAAACACATCACGTGGTCGTAAAATGGTTTACTTCTCGGGTGAGCATTTGGAGTACCAAATATCTAGCAACAGGAAAAGCATCTATTGAAACTGTATAATATGAGAAAACAATTTAAACAAAAATAAGAAAAATATTGATTACCAGAAGCTATACCTGTGTAAACATTTCCTTTAACAATATATTATGTGGTGTGAGATCCAAACTCTAAAAAAACATACATGCCAACATTGAGAAAATTTAAGCAGTAATCAACATATCTTGTTTTAAAAATATTGGTTGCTTCTAAGGACAAACTCCAAGCGAAACTAAACTTTGATGTAATTTGTCGCACTTAAATTGGCATGAAGAAGGTTTGAATATAGATTGCGCCATTTTAGATATAAATTCACATGGTCATACACATAATCATTATCACACATCCACAAATGATCTTTACCTTATCAAATGATAGTATTGGTCTAGAACCTTTCAAACAATTCCCTGTTAACTTTAACTCATCCATTGTGTGAACTGAATGACAAAGTTTAAGATGTAAATTAACTTGACAACATCATCTATGTCTTAATTTAATCTTCAAAATATGCTGAAACTGCTTTCTGTAAGACCCCTACCATTTTCAACAAGAAATTTAGCCGACGGTCCATGAGGCGTACATGATAACCTAGAAGAATGAATTGATAACATCTCATTGGCAGGATACATATCCAAAACAAAGATATTAGTACTATTAGAATATCAACCATAAATGTTTTAAAAGCGAACATGAATGGCAATAATCCTCACCTGATGGTAATTTATAAACCTACCACATGAATAAATCAGACTTTCTCCTCATCTCAAAAAATACACATTTGTTGCAATTCTTCATTTCACACACCTTATGGAAAAAACTTTACAACATTAAAATTACATTTGACCATATCACGATCACATCAATATTCAATAAACCAAAAAGCAACAGATAATGCCTTAGGCAACATACCTCGTTAACAACAAAAAGCTTATCTTTTCTGTCTAGCTTTGAATCTAATTAAATAATTCAAATGGTAAGTGATGTTTATTCTGATATTGCATATGCATCAGCAAAGCAAGTTGGAAAAACAGTTTAGTAATGCTGACATTACTATATGCCAACCAGAAATAACATACACATACAGCATGTTGTATAAGTACTTTATGCATAATTCGTGCAATATGTGTATAAACTAGAGATGGAAGCACTAGTGCAGAATAAATGGAGAACAAGGATATAAATCGGGTTTTCTAGTTGCCAACGTTCATCAGACTGAAGGTTTTTTTGCTATATCTTTTTGCTTTGCGGATCAGGCTATATGATTGTCGGAAAATGATAGTTCACCTGATTTTGAGTGAGGCATAAGAGTTTGAAGATCATTCATAAGATGCCGTGCTCTGAAATAAAAAAAAATTGTGATGATCAGCAACTCAGCTGTAACCAAACAAAATGATTGCAACCGGAAAAAAATATCAAGTTCTTTAAAAGTTTGCACGGCAATATATAGTATCCAAAAGAAATAATAATTTCCCCCATACTAGGATATTAAAGGAAGTTTGGAACAAAAATCGAAAACCATCTGGAAAAAAAGGAAAAATTAGATTTTTTTCAATATTCATCTTTCATCTTGAAGGATTTCACAACAACCTTCTGAAAGAGGCAGAGCATATTGCGATACAAGAATCTGGTCATATATATTTACCTAAACGTGATTCCACGTGCGCAAAACACGAGTACACGTTGTTTGTTCATATACTTCGATTTCTTGATGGAATTATTCTGTTTGGAGAACAAAAGTAGTATCAAAAACCTCTTAACGAAATACACAATTTGCATGCAATAAAATTACCTTTTTAAGTATTTTTTTGTCATTTTTGGTGTCATTATTTTTCTGTTTTCTTTGTTTTGTTTGCTTCGAAAATTTCGCCATCTTGAATTGGATATTGAGGGACGATGAGGAACATAGTTAGATACCTTATGACCTAGAGGTACACAGTTGTTGCGCAGACAAGTGTCCAGTGGGTATCTCTTTGGGTATCTCTGCATTTATCCAGTGGCTTTTTTGCTGTGCCTCGTTATGTTGCTTCAGCCATGTTACTGTAGTAGAAATGGTCGATTATAAAAGAAACGCATTTAAAAAAAAACGAGAGAACATGGGAGAAAAATGTGCGCCAGCCGGGACTCGAACCCGGGTCGTCAGAATGGGAATCTGACATGATACCCCTACACTACTAGCGCCTCGAACAATCACTTCCTGTAAGCAAGTTATATATAGACTAACACCTAAAAGGACCAAAACGGCCAAAATGTTAATGTACTATTTTCAGTGTTATACTCGTTTAATCACGGTAAATTCCCAGGGTTCTTATAAAAAAAGCAAGGAGAGGAAAACTGTCAAGTATGTAATACGATAAAAAGGTTCTTTTAACTTTTAGATGTGCAAATTGAGACAATGTTTAACAAATTCAGGGGTCCACTACGTTGGGCGGTTAAATTGACACATGTAATCACTAATCAGCACCGTTGTAATCAGGGGGTGCCCCCCTAGTGAACTAGTGCCCCCTTGTTAAATATTGGTGTTAAGGTGCCTCTCTTCCTAATTTTTAAAATTGCACATGTTGTTCATTATAATTTATAATCCACCAGCAAGTATATATATGGTATGTATATATTTAGTCTGACTTTCCTTTGCATCTTCTACCCTGCAGGTCATGTTGACCAGAGAGTTTGCTTAATTTTGGATATATTCGCATATCTATAATCTATAAGAATTATGTCACAGATGGTTCACATTTACCTCATCAGTTCCTTGATTAGTTCGTAATTTTCAAGAGAGTGTTTTACCCCCCCTGCCTTGTAGGCCTATGTATCCAATAAGTAAATTTTTTTGGTTATTAAACCCAAAATAATCAAGTCAGAAATACCACAGCTGTACAGAATATGAGCTCTTATGTAAACCATACGATATACTGGCACATACAGTATAAACCTGCATGCATACTGACAGTAATGTCCTTTAATTTAGCATTCAAAGCCATAATGGGTTCATATATATCCAAAGGAATGTCAGGAGCTATGGAGAAAATGCAGGAGCAACAGCAAACAATGGTAATTTAAATGGTAACTTGTCTGTCTACACAGCACCCGATTTCTGAATACTGTCAGAAGTTGTTTGAGAACCACTTTGTCACATGTTGCCGAAACACACTCCTTGAAACATACCTTTTGAACTTTAATGAATGAAACAGTCTTAACCACACCCAGACCCAGATGATGGTCATTGAGTTATAGAGTTAGATTATAAGAAATCTACAGGTAATGTATGACAAATAGAGGAGTGAATTAAGTTTTTATAAGTGTATGAAACACTACAAGAACCACTATCTTCAGCCATTGAACTAATCAAATGACATAACTTCATTTTATTAGGAGCTAAACTAGCCAGCCTTTTAACATTGTAATAATGCTATTTACCAGATGGAAAGGCAGATACTTGTTCAAAATGAAATGAGACAACGCGGTATGGCAACACAAATTGCATTTACCCGTGATATGTTCTATTGGTGGGGTTCATTTTATGCTGTTGTGACAGCTGGAGCCATTTTAGGGTAAGTAAAGGTTCAAAAACGTTTCTACGGTGCACAGGTCACAGAACCATTCAGAAAGTGGTGAGGCACTGACAAAAAAGTGCACTTTTCAATTAGACCTATATCACATTTACCCCTGTACATCTGCAAAGACAGTGAAATTCACTGAATTACTTTACTTAATACCTAATTATTAATTACAACTGCAATGCAACATTTTGCTAAATACAAATCTCTACTGAGTCTGAGTTCATGTACTACAATAGCACACATTTAATGACACAAAAAGGGCACGTTCCCTTGAAAAAAGGGGCACATTTTAGTATTTTCAGGCTACCAGGCCCAAGGGCAACCGCTTCCTTTCTAAATCGTTGTTAAATATACATTGAATAGGTTTATGAAAACCAAGAAACCATCCATTCTTGTTCCTATACTACCCTTGTCGTTCATAGTTAGTTACCAAGCAGATTTGGCGTATGGTAACAAAATAACACGCGTTCAAGGTAAGATAAAAAGTCGTATTCTCTCTATTAGTTGATACTCATAAATTACAGGGATGCAAATTGGTCCTCATGCAGTGTACAGATGAAATTATTAAGCTTCTAGCTACGGCTCTGATCCAGACCACTGTTACTTTCTTTCAAGCAAGGTTTAGACGTATAGTTTCTTTTTTTATTAGCTGAGGCGGAGAACATTTTGATAAATGAAGGAAGTTTACTAAAACTACCGACTGGTTTGCCAACAATTGAACACATCGACAAGCTTCGTGAGAAGAAATAGTTGTCAAGCATAAAATGTGTGTAAATTACTCAGTTCTGAAAACGGTCTTCAATCTTTTTTCCAAGTCTCTTTTTATCAGAAAATGAAATGACAAATTTGTCGGGCTAAATGACAAATTTTTCATTTCTCAAGCCAACCAACCAAGCTCTTTGCATGGTTGGGCTAAATGCATTTTATTTTCAGCCCGATCCGAAATATATTTCCATTTGCTTTTCCTGTGGAGTCACGATTAATCTCTAAATGTTAAGTTTTACCAACGATTAGCCTTTGATTATAAACAGCATTCTGGTAGAGAAGGAACAATAACAATTTGAGCAACTTGTGCGTCCGGCGGGTGGGTTATGTTTTCGAGGGTTAGGTTCGTGTATAAGGCTATTTAAAACTATATAAGGAAGAGTTACATTTTGGATGAAAGTTTACGATGTATATCTTTCTGTCGGCATGCATTTTTATCCAAATCCAAACATCGGCATGCAAGTGGTTCTACTTGTAACTTGTGCTTTTAAAAACCTAAATATTGTGATTGATGGCGACAGCTGAGCCGCGGTCTGCTGAGAAGTACCGACGTCTTTGTTATCGCTGCATGGAATCACTCAGTTATGAATCAGTCTTAGCTAATCTTTGCATGAACTTCATTTTAACTCGCAGTCGCATGCAGTAGCCAGGAAACACTCAACTCTTCATGATAACGTCTTCTCCTTCTGTTCGCCATTAATGCACCATATTCATAATCTTTCAAATAATTACGAAAGAAGCGCAATAGCCTCGATCTACCAGTTTTTCACCGTGTTCCTGTTTGATCATTCGCTTCGACGAATATCAGTTTCAAACATGCATGGCCGCCTAGCCGAAAGTCGAGCAATTTTTGCAGATTGATAAAAGCAGATGTTTAAGTGCAATATACAGCATGGTGATGACAATTGCCGGACAATTGTGAGGGTCTCACTTTTCGTCTCTGTTTGGTCTACTAATTCACAGTTATAACTTAGTTATGATAGCAGTTTTTCAGGCATCACACAATAAGAGTCTTGTCGACACTTTAAACAGTTATCTGGCAATATCACCGCACTATTTAGAAAATTATGATCTTTTGTGTTAAGTACTTAAGTTGCTGTCCTCAGACTCCCTCTGGTTCTCAACTTTAGTATATAGGGCCTAGTATATGGTATATAGTCATCAAACTTGCATGTGTGGCATACTAACTCTCAAGACAAATCCCTTTACATCAAAACGTCGAGAAATTTTTGCCTTTTTAGACGTTAAGATATATATTGGTATGTCTAAAGTTTTTATAATTGTCGCAAAAATTAATGTGTCAACTTGTAATCATTAGCAGGACATTTCGCGCATTCTTGAGCAAAACGATGAACTAGCTAGCTTTTCGCTTGCTACAGCGGGTATAATTGTCAATTTACCCGGATTTATTAGGATATTATATACTGACATTTTTAGAACACAACCCAGATTTAGAACAATTCCCAGCTCAAGTGCCCAACACATTATTAGACAGTTTTTCGCCCCTTCCTTTAGCATAACCACGACCTTATAATCTCCAATACTAAGATGACTTGTGTCTTTACGGCATGGTTATATATATGCCTAGACGTTTCACTGTAAACATCCCCCCTGGAAGCGCCATGCACAAAGTTTAGATATTTTTTGGCCAATATAACATATACAATAACACGCACAGTGGATTATTTCAAATTCCAGGACAAAACTTTTTTATGCGGAGAATGTAGCCTACTGTCACTATGACTATATATTATGGCGGGCAAAATTGTTCAGTGCGTCATAGTTGTGACGTTAACGTTTTCAAAACTCGTATATACATGCAGAACAGGTGAGGTTACGAAAGAAAAACAATAAAATCCTTCAACACTTTTGATTTTACTTTATATTTACATCAAAAACAAACTAAAGACGTAGAGTCAACCCGCGTAGGTAAACTAATATCACAATTTGTTTTTTCAGATTTCTCACAAGCCCATTAATGTAATACTCATTTCGACATTTCGTAATTTTTATTGCTTTTATAAATTCCATGACAAATTTTCAGTCAAACACTGACTTCAGTCTATAGCCGCGTCGACTGGAGTTATATATCTCTTTACCTTCATTCCTAAGATCTATATTAGGGACCTTAAGCATGTAGGACGGCAACACGACGACGACGTGGCTGGAATACTCCTTTAAATTATTGTTATGATAAAGCGTTGTTTTATATTATCAACTGTACCAATTTAACGAGATATAAGACGTCGAAAACATTGTGTTTACGTTTAGGGACAATTCTATAGAGCCTAATTCGAGGTAGCGCTCACTGGGTCATGAAATGCAGACGTTCTACATAGGACGTAATAAACGACGTTTTGCCGTCGTAAACAGAACGTAGATCACGTCTAAAACTCCCATAGGTATTTAATAATTCATTTCTTTTCAATGAAGCATTGTATTGATAGCTGCCGTCGTCGTGTTCCCGTCCTACATGCTTAAGGTCCCAATTATTACTAACAGACTGTGACGACAATTATGGGGGCTATTATAACATTGGGCATCGAACTTTGATAAGAATTATATAGGTACAACTTTCAGGTCTGTTAAGGCAATTATACTATTCGTAAGGTCAAGGGGTAGTCAGGAATGAAGCTATGTTTCGTTTTTGGTTGCAAATTTCTCTTCTAACTTCTAAGCAGATTCCGATGGCAAGTGATAAAAGTTTAGGAAAAGAGAAGATGCGAATGACTCTAGTCTAGTCAAGTCAAGATCTCTATTTTTTTTCTATATATTTCTGGAATCAATTTCAGAAATATATAAATCAAAAGTGATGAACACATTTGATATTATTGGAACTTAATCCTTCATTAAGGAACTTGTATGCCAACACTTCGTGTGTGTGGTATATTTAATCTTTAATTAAAATGAACAGACTAGCTCGCATGCAACTGCCTATATAGCAATTGCAGAAACCCGTGGCGTTTTTAACGGGGATCTTTATTTATATCCTCAAACTGAAGTTAATGAAGAAAAAGAATTGCTTCTTTATTTTCTCTGAAAGTCATTCAGTTTGAAGATCACAGTACTGCATAAAAATTTTAAATGAATTCAACTGAACTTGACATGTAATAATAATAGTTTGAAGATAGGAAGTACCAAAGCAAGAAAGGTTTGCGGAAAACGTAATGGGGACGCAGGTTCGTTTCCTTCCGCGGGGAACCTGGTTTATACCACATAAATAGCTAAAGCACAGTCTCCCTTACATTGTCTAGCGAACATATATCCTCAAGTTTAATATTTGTATCTACATAAATCTGTCTTTCATCTTGAACCAAACCTTGTTTCCTTTGATTTTCCCTGTTTAAAAAAACCTTGACGTATGTTGTTCCGGCATTCATGTGTTCATGAAAATCTTTTACATCCTCGTTCCAATTTTTCAACTCTTTTACTTTCACGCCATTTTGTTGCAACATTATTTTCTTTTCACCCTCGGTATGATATTCAGAGTGTTTTGAAGGTTGAGAATCACTCGTACTGTCTCCAGAAATCAAGGGACTTCGCGAATCTGACGATAGACGACGTCTTAATGTTGTTTTGTTAGCTCCCGAGGTGCCGTTACTATCTGTCTGCGGAAGTGCTGTTGCTAGCGATCTCATTCTTTGACCTAACAATGTTTTCTCAGTGTCTTTCTGAACATCCTTTAGTTTAAAGGCAATTTTGTTATACGGTTTTCCCTGACTTGAATCATCCCGACCTTTTTCCAAACATAAACAGCAGTTACACTTAAGGAAAAATAATCTGTAAGCTTTGCGAAATTCAGTTTGAAGTGTGCCGTAGACAATAGAATTTAACGCGCTATTTGCCATAGTGAATACGTTGGAAATACGAAATACGTACAGAAAGTATTTCCAATCACCTAAATCTCCGTACTGTGTCCAAAAGTACACAATATGTTGCGGAAGCATACAAAATGAGTAGATGAAAATTAATGCGACCAACATTTTTGTAATCTTTTGACTTTGTCTTTGTCTTGCAATTTCCGCGGCATAATTCACGCTTCCTGACCGACCTCTGGAGTTCTTAGAGAGAAACCTTGAACGTTTTTGAAGCTTCCATCCAGCAACGCTATATAATACGCTCATGATAAATAATGGTATGACGTACTGCAACAAAAACATGGCAATCCAGTAATATCTCGAGGAGTCTCCATTTGGCCAAATTTCGTCACAAAAAATATTATTGTCTTTAATTATCGTCCCAGCAATTATCATTAGTGGTAACGCTGTCGCTATCGACACAGCCCATATTATGATAATGATTCTCCGAACAGTTGTTAACCGCATTCGAGGCTGAAATGGAAACACAATACCTCGAAATCTTTCACAACTTATAGCAAGCAAAGTTGCAATGGATGCTGTGAGACAAACAGGAACAATGCTGTATGTTATACGGCAACCGACATTTCCAAACGGCCAGTTTTGGTTATTTTCATAAGCCGCGTATTGGGATGGAACGTATATCACTATGATGATTAAGTCAGAAATAGCGAGGTTTAAAGTGAAGCAATTCATAACAGTTCTCATACGTCTTTGCTGTATGACCACAACACATACAAAAAGATTACCAAACAGCCCAATGCAAAACACAATGACGTAAAACAGTCGTAGGACCATGGTCAAAGCGAACGGCTCCTCCATGTTTGAGGTTGAATTTACACCCATTTTCTCTTTTTACAAATATCTATAAACAAGATCGCGGCACAATGCCACACATAGTATCTTCAATTTCGTCTACGAAACACAGCCTCCTCTTCAAAGTTCCCTACAGTGCAGCCTCGAGTATCTTATAAATTAATTTGATCTCTGTTGTCTGTGTTCATATATAAAAATGTCGTTATTATCAGTGTTTGCTATCAACTTGAGTTATCTATGTTCCTTTGTGTCGTTGATGCCGAATAATCGCTAAGAACAATACGGATATCTTTCTTTTAACACCTCGAACATAAAACTTTTATCCCATTCTTCTTTTCAGGTAGAAATATTTAAGATTGTGGCACTTCACATTGATCGTTTCATCAAAAGCAAAAACCTGTTCTCCGGAACAGATTAACACTGCTGCATATCAGTGTGACAGATTTTAACTGCATGTATCTTGCCAGAAATTGGTTCTCGGTGTGTTGCTAAAAATTGTTTTGAAATATGCAAAATCAGTAAATAAGGAATGCAAGTAATGTGATAAAAATTTGGAAGAAATTTGTTTCTTATATACGGCTTTGATATAATTATTAGCATAAGCTCATTTTGAAATGTTTATCATTGATTTTCTTACCTACGCTAAAATACACAAAATACTGATTGTAATCATTGTCTTGTCGTTTCTCATTAATGCATGGTCTTCGGCCGATTCTAAAGTGACTTTCTCCGCATGCGTACGCGGAATGTGTACCATAGATAGAAATCTTTATCTTTATTAATCGTAAATGGGATTTTCTCCCTAATATCATGCGCTATAGAGTATAGATGCACTGACAGCATGCACAATATGGTCATACCAAGTTTTTCATGCTGTGAATCATACATTCAGTGCCATCTACCACCAGTAAATGAATACTGTGAAGCTGTATGAACCATGATACAAAGCCAAAACGTCTAAGCCATGTCTTCCGTCATGTTGGGTCTTATTGTGCTTTATTTGATTTTGCATGCCAAGCAGATGAGGGCGAAGAAAAACAACAATAAATTATATAATGCATCGTATGCATGTATATATACATATAGTCGGTCCGTATGCCATCACACAGATACGCTTCTATAATATATTAATTGCACGTTGTTTGTAGTAAAATTATGATCAATAATATTCTGCTAAAGATAGTGATTAAAATGTGATACCTTTATAATGTGACCTTCTTTTGAAACAAAACGATCTTAAACAAAACCGGTGAACACTACACCTGCTGTGACTCCCACTAGGACAATATACGTCAAGAACAGTGGATTAAATCAGTTTCATAACTGTTTTCTATCCATCTATCATTTGCATGTGTTTGCGCTGGTTTGAAAGCCAGTCTCTGAACTGTGAAATGGAGGTGCTCAGTTTTGTTGTATTATGAGTAAGATTTACTTTAAATTGAGTATCGTGTACGTCTTACGTGTACTGCATCGGTATTGTTGGAATAGGGATTTTAACTAATTTTCCCCTTGCTATATATATCTTGCATGGTTATAATAATAAATGCATGTGTGTACGGCCGCAGGAACTAACAATATATGGTTTAATTTGTTAATGTCAATTTATAACAACATTGTGCCGGCATTTCAAAACAATAACAGAACTATGCAAATATATGTCCTATCCCTGATGGATGTTGTATATCTGTTGTGAACACTATAGTAAAACTGACACATGTATGCATGGGGATTGCATGCATGATTATTTTTTCATCAATTTATATAACTATTAGCCCGTGATTAATATCTTCAATATATATTATTTAACTATATATAAATTCCACGCATTTAAAGCATAAAACCTTTTGTTTTCGATTTAGACATGCAACCATTCTGACAGGGACTCGTGGAGACTGTATCTGTGCATTTCCTTGCGCATGTGCCTTGCACGGCCTTGTCCTTGAGCTGTCGAAAGCATTTGATAGCAATCAATGATTTTTAATTATCCTGTTTTTACAGGTGCACGTCACTTCAAATATTGTTTTAGGGAGTTTTGATTTATATGTGTAGGCTGCTTGAAATGAAATGACAAATCTACTCTGTGGTTTCCGTGTTTTTCTTAATTATTGTGAGTTTAGATGCACTGTCGCTCGCAATGTGCATGCATATATAGTGTTGGGTATAGTTCGCTGAATAGTTTGTGCCTGTGGGTTGTTCAGTTCCGTTGCGGTTACGGTATTTTGCTATAATTTGCCAATTATCCAAATGATTAATAACAATGCAAGGTATTCTATTTTCACATTTCTGTACGCTAATTTCGTCTGTCAAGTATTATATTAGATCATTTGTTCAGCTGAAGACAAGCCGATAGCGGGTTTTTGACATATGCGCGAAACATTGCAATAATAATTTTGCATCAGCCATCACGGATAAATTTCGTGTAATAAGACCATACCATATTATTCACATTTGGCGTTGTTTCCGTGTTTCATATTATCCTGATCTTCAAATATATCGCACCTATATATGAAGTTCAGTGCAAACCACAGAAAATTAATGATATTCAATTAAGAGCTCTTCTCTGATGCTGTTTCTTCAGCTCTTCTGAGAACCCATTATCTTCCAAAAACTACGCATTTCCCCCCTCAATTTGGGTACAAAAATTATCCTCGTTGTTTTACTGAACGCCAGTCAATTTGGTGGCCAGGCACCACCTACGTCAGTTTTGTTGCTTACTCCTCCCACCTACTTTCCTGGCAACGCCTCTGCTATTTCAGCTTTTTTTATAACAAACATGACATAATAAACATAAAATAATAAAAAAACAGCTTTCTTGGCAACGTAATGCAACTCTTTGCCAACTGCATGATGTGATTTCCAACACCAACATCCTGTCTTTAATTTACTTGCTGAATCAACAGTGCTTGCGTCAACATAACATAATGGTCACACCCTATCCTAGTAATCTCGTCTACACCGTCCTAGACTGCACACAAGAATTTAATTGTCTCACCACACCCTTTGAGGATAAGAAATATCAAGTGTTTAGAACAACAACACATATAAGTTTTACGGAGATAAACCGCGTTCTTAACTGGACACAAGAATTTGACTCACCACACCCAAGAAATATCATGATCTTATAACAACAACACATAGGCTGAAATTAACACCAACAACAGCTCTCACAAAATATTCGATCACCACAATGGAGGCTGGAGACATTCAAAGCACAAAATAGTGCGCACACATTTCGGCGATGAAGTAAACACACACACCAGTGCAAGGGGTCTTTGCCCTTGTACTGACCTCTGCATCCCTCTGTCATCCACTCCGCACGGCGTGGAATGGTCGGCTCATGGATTCTGTTACTCCAGATTTTCAAGCCGCCCTGACCTTAAGAAGGCTTCCCACCACCCAGTTTTAGGCAAATATTTATTAGCATTATTTCATTAACGTTTGGCATGATAAAACTAACAAACTGGTCGAGGCTATTGCCATTAGGTCAATAGTTCAGGCTATTGCCAAATTTGCCATTGGGTCAAGGTTGAATAAACTTTATCGGGTCGGTCACACCCCTTCGTGGACTGTACGCTAATGTAAAATGTTTTATGATGCTATACACTAGTTGCCTCAGTGGACAAGCTGAATTCACGCCGGAGCTTTTGGCACGAGTGGTTTAGGAACCCGTTCCTGCACATGCAATCTGTAGTCCAAATGTTAGTCCTGCATTTATCTCTGCATGCGAAGTATTCACTAAGTTTGTTTATAAATCATATCAGAATCAATCCCTTGATTATTTGTAAACAATTTATGAATTCCACTAACCAGGCATGTTAACTCTCGAGCTCTAAATTACATGCACTTGACCTCAATTAATCCAACCCAAATGCTTAACCTTTCGTTCCACAGATAAAAGATTTCAAGGAGCATATCACGATTTCGCCTTTTTTGGCGGTATTTTTGTTTATACTTGCAAGCTACCTCTTATTATCTGATTTCCTCTCATAGTCTCACTCCCTGTTTAAAGGGGCTCTTAGCGTTAAATTCCAACACCTCGGGGACATTACAAGGTATCGCTATTCTATGGTTTAATAGTGGTTACTACCTGCAACTCACTCGATCTTCAGGCTGATGATGAAATTAACAATTTTGTTTAGCAAATCTATGTGAAAGCAAAGCTGCAAATCTATTGATGGCAGCACATTAGACCAGAGGCCAGATTGTTGAATTAATTGAAATAATACACAATTGAACAGGTCATGCACCCAATGCGGGAGGGGTTATCGACAATGCGAGGTTATAGGAAAAACCACAAATATATGCTGCCGAACTCCACAAAATATGCATCTTGTGGGGAACTAATTTTTGCCATTCCTTGTCTACTCCAGCAATTTCTGTGCAACCTGAGATCGAACTAGTTCATGTGAGCCGATAACTTGCTCCGAATTATGACATAGCCAAAAATGTATTTACCAAACACAAACTTTTTACATAGTTTTACATATTACATTACGGTCATTACCAATTAATTGATACATAGTATACATAAATTTAAATCCAGCAGTAGATTGTTGCGCTATCAGTAAACTAAACACTATAAAGACTTGGTCTTAATTCACTTAAACATGCAGTTTCTTCGTTAAGACTTGACCAGAATAAATTAGAATTTGGTGTCGCCAGGGTCTAAAAATTAAATGAAAAGTTACAACATGAGTATTATAACCATTACATTTTGTTTAGGATATTATATTTTTAATTCCAACACTTCAAATCAAAAACAGTTATATCTAAGTAGCAAATTAAAAACTGATATCTAAGCTGCTTGATCAAGTACAAATTGACGAAAACTTCAGATAAAGCTTCATGCATGGGTAAAGCTCCATTAGGTAGCATGATTAACTAAAGCAGTTCGCTACTCCTACCTTTCCACGGTGTAAGATCAATGCCAGGAATCTGACCACATTCCACACGACGATACCTCCTACTTCCGGTTAAGAATGCATTTTTCTGAATTGAAACAATGTTTTTTAAGTTATCGCATATAACCTTCGACAACGTTGCCTTTTTTATCTCGTGTAATTGTTGATGTGAAAAAACGTCGTCCTTCGTGTAGAAGAATCTGTCTCCATCTCTTGCTCTTTTCATCTGTTCTCGAATGATACATCCAAAAGTCGCTCCAACAAGACCGCCATTTGCCGGAGTCTCGGCTAAACCTGCCACCCACAAGTCTGCGATATCAGGTTTGTTTCTATACAGCTTTGCTAGAAGACGCCTATTACGACGGTTTGGAATTTCTCTGACAGTACTTCTAAAGGTTCTGGCATATCCTAATCCGCAATAACGTCTGAACGCGTTATAACCAGGCAGTCCGTGATCTCTCCCACGCTGAATGTTCAATGCAGCGAGATTTAATCCAGGCGAATGCGGACGTTCGTATAGATGATTTAACACACCAACTGCAAGTTTCCGGTCTACTGTTTCCGAGGAATTGCCGAGTAAACCGAGAACGACTTCATCTATACCGTGTTTACGTATGAAAGTATTGTTAGAAAAAAGATGACGCAATAGCAAAGGATCTCCAGTAGGATTGTAATGTGCATCAAGTCTGTCAAATGATGGCCTAATTAGACTGTGTCCAAATCTGAATGCAGCTGTGGAGAACGAGTTGAGGATACCGGGATTGATGTTTGAATTGTAGCCTTCATATTGAGGCAAAGTATGTCCGATGATTATTGGAAGAAAATCTTCATACGTGATTTTTTGTAATACAGCACCAACTATTTTTCTCGTTTCCTGGTACGTTTTCTCTCCGTTCCATTGGGGATTAAGTTTTCCTAATGCTCGTGCAATTCTGTTATGTTCTCTAAGGAACAAAGTATGCATAGTTGCTAGAACCATCTGTTCATTGGAACGAGTATCGCCCGCTATGAAACATCCTCCGGATTTCCTACAAAGACTGCTCATTTCTGGACGATTATCGGGTGGGAGAAAATCACCATTTATACCTGGAGCTGTTTTCATCAATCCCTTGTCGTCTGTAGATATAAAGAAATTATATTATACCAAAAGCAACCAGGATGCATGGTACCTTATGCATGGTGCATGGTAGATTATGTGCAATCAAGGATTGGAATACGCACGCTAAATTAGCTATAACATCACTCACTAGTCTGATCTCTCAAATTTTTTGCCAACATTTGCGTAGATCCATAAACCTGCGAGGCATCAATGAATGCTGTATTAACATTAATTTGCTGTCTTGTAGTTATACGACCATATTTGATCTGACATTCTGTTGCTGATCTTGCAAAATGAATGCATCTGAATTTATCAAGTGGTGTTATGGTATAACACGGTACGGCATTATCCTCGATTGACCCATCACATCTGGATAGGAAATAAGCGGAATTATAACAAGGATTTAGTCGTTTTACCAACATTCTCAAGATTGAGTACTCAAGATTCAACTGACTAACTCACTTCACATTTTGACAGTTATCTGAACTTTGGCTTTCTGGGGAAAGATCCAAATCATGATCCAAGAATTGTCCAAACTGCATGAGCGCATGAGAGTGACGATTTCTGCTTTTTGAGGGATGGTTTTGTTGGATGATAAACTCACGAACTACTTTAAATGTTGCTGGAATATCTGGAACATTCGCTTGACCTGGATATCCGATAGGGTCGCTAAGACCTTCAACGTCAAAATATTTTGCAGGCAGTAAACGATTCAAAGATTTAGGAGCAGAACCGAACGAAGGATTTTGAATGTTATTGCAAGTGCCATCAATTGTGCGATATTTTGCATTCGTTGGACATTTTACAACTTTCCTCTGTTGACAACCACATTCTCTTGCCAAATGTTGTAATGCAGAACTTGAAAATAAAGAATTAATATACCAGCCATAGAATACCTGTTTTCCTAAAAATTATAAAAATATGCTTGGAGGTTGTATTTGTCGGTTTGCAATTGTAATTGGAACTAAGCATGGAAGGAATTTCGTGTCGTTAAAGCACTTCAATCTACAAAATGGCTTCGTCCAGAAACTATACTGTCTATAAATTGCGTTAAAGATTTCTTTCGTGCATTCGTAGCGCATGGTCTTGGTGGCAAAGCAAAAATATTTTTACCAATATAAATATTGTCCAATTTATCCACTATAACTTACTTGCAGCTGCATTTTTCGTGACATATTTCTTCAAAATTTCATTAATCACGAACTCAAGAGTTTTCTCCACTTTTATCGATGACATCATTTCATCAAATGCTTTACGTTCAAGCTTCTGTGACACGACTCTAAGGATTCTAAGCAGAGCACTTGAACCACTTGTATCTCGAAATGTATTACTTTCGTGAACCTTGGAAGATATTCTTTCGGGAGAGTAACGCTTTAAAAATTGATCACCAAAATTCACTGGGAAAATAATCAAATTCAAGTTTTTTATTTTACGAGATCTAGTACGGAACACCACTCGGTATGGACCTCGTCGCGAAAAACACCTGTTAATAACCAAAATCTTTAATGTAGCTTTTCTGATGCCGTTTGTGTCCTTTCGTAAACCACGAATGCTTCTTCTCAGTACTAGATTACCAGTCAACCGCCCAACTCTTACAAAACCTCTGGAATATCTACCAGTTACAAATATGTTACGACAACGCCCTTGACGTTCTTTAGGCAAATTTCCAAATTTGCCAAGTCGTACATCTTCTGTTAAGAGATATTTATAACCAACGGATGTTTTTCCTGCAAAAGAAATGAGGGTGAGAAATAGCTAGGATCGCTTGTCACTTTAACGGTTCATTGTTTATATGGTAAAAAATGCGGTTGCTACGCTGAAAAATTCGATATGTGGAGTAAATTATTTAAACGGTTAGACTTACTACAGCGTTTACCAAAGCACTTAGCAACGAGCCAAGTAAACAAAGGAATTTGGTTGGCTTTTAGGGAAACTCTTACAGGATATTGAAGCGACAAACGATTTTGTATTTTCCTCCAATTCTCTAAACTAAATCATCTACAAGAATCGAGCAGCGTGGTAGCGTTTTGCAACAATTTCTTATCAAATTTGGCATAACAACGTCTTAAAATAGACTAAAACACGTCTCAATGTCTCGACTTAAGGGCCTCCTAAAGGCCTTTGTCAGAATTGTGCAATGGTTGTCTTAAAATGGGTGTATATTTATATATGATGTGACTAACTCTCCTGACAAACGAAAAAGGAAAGATTTTAGTAATTCCATAAGATTAAACACATCTTAACCGAAGCCAGCTTGTTTCGTCAGGGTGGTAGTATTCGTTACGCAAATTTTGTTGCTAAAAACTTTTTATTTATTCCATTTTAGAAATAATTTGGTACATTTTTATTTGGGTGTCCATGAAAAAGCCCTATGACCAGTCATTTTGTTTTTATTGGACTGTTCGACAGCCAATCAGCGTGCGACTCAACAATTTTGCTATACAATATATCCGGCCCCTTGAGAACACGCCCTTCCCAAACATTTCACAAGTGAATAATCGTGACCTACTTCTGGAAGCAACGTTTAAGTACTAACAGCCCCACTCCGCGCAGAAGACTAGATTCGATTCCTGTGATGCATTTCTCGCGACGTTCCTTGTTTGGCTTAAAAATAATATTTTTCACTTTCGTTCTCCGAAATTGTCAGAGTACAATCGGTCTGTACAAAAGCGGTCAAACAGTAGCTGTAATTACTGAATTAACCAAACTGCATTCTCGCACTTAAAATACTGGTTAAATCAGGTCAAACTGGTTTGCTTCATAGCCTTCAAACTTGATGGGAGAAAAGATTAAAAAATATATCTCTTGCACAAAAGATTTGAAGCTTGCACACGGAAAAAGCAAATCGTCTAAATTAATACTCTTGTGTATACTTTAAGCCTCAAAATGGCTGTCAGAAGATTGCAGAATGTGTATTCAAAAGAAAAATTGAACTCTTTAAACTAATTCAATAGTTTTCTCTTTCACAATTGTGAACCAGTGATTTGGGTTGAAACTTCATGCACCAATTTATAAAACAAGAGAAATCATCAAGGTTAATATCATATCCCATTAATTATATCAGTTAATTCATTTATATTAAGCACAAATGATAAAGAATGCTATAATTTCCTACCTGCTGCAAGCATGCCGTGGCATTTGGGCCAACAAACACTGAGAAGGAAAATATTACAGACAAACACGAAGACATTCATGATTCGCCAGCAGAATGATTGATTGCCGAGAATTTAATATGTGGAGTTTTTTATACCTTTTGAAGGAGGAATTTGAGAGAGAGTTAATCAATCATCTTTCAGTTTTTGAATGCATGCAATATTAGCTACATGCATTCAGCATTTTCCATTTAAGAGGACAAAGACTATAAAGTGATATACTAAGTTGAAACTTTGCCTTTGAAAAGATAGAGTGGGAAGCGGAAATTCCGAAATTTTAAAAGAATATCGCTGATTAGAAAAATTAAAAATCTAACTTGAGAAAGAATCAATTTTCACCCATAAGGTTAATCGTCATAGTACACTATATTGAGTTCTATGAATCTTTGGATTTTGGAGTTTTCTATCCTTCGAAGATAACTTTAATCAATTAAGGCATGATGCATGTTTGTCACTACCACAGTCATGCACATCGTATGGTTCGTACATCATTCGCACTTACCATTACGTCGGTGATATGTCGGGTTAACAGAACTCAAACGTTTTTTCAGAACAGAAACGTTTTTTCTAAGATGAGTTGCTAGGATACCCTATTAGAGAATTCAAACATGCATTTTTTTTTCTCTTATGGTCATATATTGTGATAATACCGCCATTCCTTGTGCACTTAAAGCTTCACGTTTCGTTATAGTACCCCCTGTACTGAATTATCTATATATAGGGCATTTGCCGTTGCTAAATTCATGTCATGACAACTCGGTGTATAAAAAAGACACCAATCACGAGACACTGGAAGAACTCATGCTTTCTAACTAGTTTTGATATAGCAGCGACCTGCATGTGTATATATATATATATAATTATATATTTATTAATTTATATATTAATTAAGTTAATTTACAAAATTTCGCCATTACATGAAAACTTATTGCCTTTATACATGCCTTATTACTTGCTCAACCAAATATATTTCGGAGCAAAAACTACCATCCTCGGTCGTGCATCTTATGCTATTTCATCATTCGTCAAACAACCCACGTTTGCTTTACTCAAAGCACACCTAACGCCTGTATTCAAAAAGCTCACTCACACTCAAACTCATTGAGTGGGAGATCTTAATCTTCTCATGACGTTTCAATGGCGGTATTTTCAGCCGAACAGGGGCTTGATTTTCAGTGATTTACTTTATATCTTTTCATCTATTGAGAGAAAACTTTCTCATTGATCAGCATTAACAAAATTTATATGTCACACTCAATGAGTGTGAGTGTGAGTGAGCTTTTTGAATACGGGCCTAAGTCTTAGCTTTGTGAATGTGGGTGTCAAAAAATACAAAGTCAAAGACAACTTTTCCTGCATGTTATATCGGCAATAGGAAATTAATCGAATAGTATCTTTGTGATTCAGCATTCTGTATGTATACCCCAGAAAGGACAAGAAACCGTCTGGTCAACCACATATGCATATATAGTTATCTATTAATGTTTAAGGCAGACTCGAATATAGGGACTAAAATATTTTTACTAGAACAAAGATATCTTTTAATAATGAAGTCATTATGCATCAAACTTCCCACGTTTTTCCTATCAAGCAAACCTGCATTTTAGCTTTGTGGGTGTCAAATAATGCGGACATGTCAGTAAAATTTTGACTAAGAATTTCGAGTCATGCATGTATATACACATGCAGAATATGGGAATCAACAAAAGAAAGTTAGCGATGTGATTCAGTTTTACTGGAAAGAATAATGAAGCACGATTTACGCGAGAAAACCAGCTTTAGACTAAGTCTATTAAGACTGGTTATATACGAGTCGCGTTTCTGCATGTTAACTTATTTTTTTCTTGATCGATGTGCGAGCTCATCACACGAGTTCTGCAGAACTCCAGCCTCCAGGTGCAATGATATTTATCAGGGAACAATGCTTGTATAAAATTAGAGTTGGCAAAGTTGTTGTCGCCTTTGATTTTTGTTTGCATGATATCTAATATATATGGTTTACAAGACCAAAGACTTAAAGAAAATGCGAAGTGCTACTCTGTTCATTTTTTCTTTCAAAAGCAAACGTCAATACCCTCAAGTCTAAAGGTGAAAGAACGTGAATACCCTCAAGTCTAAAGGTGAAAGAACAGCAGTTGCCAGGTAAAAATTCCTGTTTTACAGAATTTCACGAATAAAGAAAGTGTGTTTTATCACTCCGAGTTTTCATATATGGTCACAAAAAGTTATAAGCGTAATATAACAATTGGCATTCATTTACGTGAAGATTTTCCCTGGAATAAGCCGTAGAAGTGTTTTGTACACGGCATAGGGTATAGACTATAGATGCAACTTCGCAAGGTTTTCTAGATATGCCTAATTTTTTTGCAAATATTCAGCAAGTGAACGGTGTTTATTATAGAGATTAGTTGGGGCGAATTCCCTATCTAGTATATAGATCAGTGCCAGTAAGGTGAACCCTTACGAGGCTTTCCGTGACCATTATTTTTGACACAGCAGCTTGAAAGAAGCGTTTTTGTATCCTCCCGTAGGCGATTTCTGTTTCCCTCATTAAGGAACGTTTAAATGAGCGATTTTTACTGTGATTTTCTTCTTTGATAGATGTGAACGAGAGCCGGGATAAGCTACGGCATCTATACTCCTTGTATAGACATGTTATATCTTCCAAATTATCCATATTAGGTAAATCAGCATATTAGCAAACGAACGTCAACTGCACCGATTCATAAATATCATTTAGAGCCGTCACTATCAGTATCACTATATACATCTGACACTAATGAAATTTTTGAACTAGTAATTTTTGAGTGGCAACCATCTTCTGACCCAACATCTGGAGATGCAGTTAGCATCGTACCACATTTCATGGGCTTTTCGTCTTTGCTAAGTCTTGGTATGGACGCTCTGTCTAAAATTGAACCTTCTGGAATCTGATGGTTCGTTTGGAGACCTGAAGATTCTTTATTTCTACACTCGCCTGGGTTTGTTGTATTTTCAAGGTTTATTTTTGATTCATAATCAACGTCTAAACTTGCACAAGTTGTCCTGTCCAAATCTTGCAGCGTCTCAGTCTTCGAGCATTCCTTTTTTTCGTTCGATTTCCTTCTTATACCAAAATCTTCACTATTTCTCGTAAAAATTGTAGTTCGCGCACCAGGTAACATCATTTTCTGTCTTTTCTCGAGCAAATGAAAACGATTAATTGTTTTTTCAGACGTTTCCGAAAATATCGGTCTGCTTTTTATTTGAAGTCGTCTTTTTCGTTTGTCTTCCTCGTAACCTAAAAAAGAGAGATTACGCAATAGACCTTTCTCATCATGAAGTAAAGCGCGGGAGTTTTGGCTCGGTAGTTTTGCGGAGCCAATCAAAGTTCGTGTAACATCAGACTTCCCATATGTGACGTCATTATGAGAAAGGTATATATCATTCAGTTAAAGTGGAGAGCTACGTTAGAAGACTTTACTATTCGGAACCCTTCGAAAAATATTTCTTTACTATGGGAGTAATGCTTTATTGTCACTCTTTCCAAGAAGCTAACAATACTTTATCGCAGAAACATTGAATAATTCTCTCACTTCCTGTGTGAAATCTTATTTTCTTTGCAAGTTTGATATCTTCGGGGACTTCATTAACCAAATCAAGATCCAATCCTCCTTTATCTTTGATTTCCTGATCTTTCTCTTCTTTTTGTAAAATCACTTTCTTCTCCTGTCGAAATTTCTTTCTAAGCATTTGATTTAGTCCAAAGTCATCTTTCCATTGTGTCTGCATATCCTATGAGGCAAGAAAACACTGTTCCAGAATAACACCCATCTTGTGGTATGATGGTTAAAGATGAAGTATCTCTGACCTGCTTGTGTTGTGTTACATGGGGACTGTTTAACTCATGTTCTATTATGTACACATATTTACTTTTTTATGTTTAGCTGGATCCAAATAAAACGGTTGATAAGCATGAAAAGCATTAGATTATTATTTAGTACCTTGATTTGAACCAGTCCTGGAATCGCAGCTTTTGATTTCCTTTTATCTTTTTCACCATGTTCCAGTTTGAACATTGCATCATCAATCAATTTTTGTTTCTCAGCATGATCTAATTTTGCAATATATTTTCAATATAGAAGGCAACTTTCATTTAAAGACTTCTGGACGTATGTACTATAGTTTACAATCAACCAAATGGCTAGTAACAGGTGAGGTTACCTGTGGCTATAACGTTCTCTGCAGCAACTGGGTCCCAGCGCTCTTCTTTTCTTCTTGCTCCGGTCACAATTGTGTACTCACAGTTCTGCAAGTTGCAGTAACAAAGAAATAGCAGCATCATCTTCCTGGGACCAGTTTTGCCAATGCATCAACCAAATTCTATGTGTAATTACTATGGCTACACAGCTAAAAACTGTGGGCTGGAATGCCATACCTTAGGATCAGTTTCCATTTCAATGTAGTTATCACAGAGATGACATTTCATCCTAAATCTGTAGATTGGAGTTGTATAATAATTTCCAACTTTCTTTTTTTCTGCATTGTACCGGACACCTTAAGAAGAGAGGTTATGTCTATAAATAAATGACTCACAAGATGTGAAAACACAGTGTAAATAACCAAATGGAGGTCCTACTTTGAAAGAGTTTGTCGAACCTTAGCTGTTTTTACTTTAGTCACATACGGCTTGGGGCAATAGTCCTACCCATTCCAACTAGTGTGACAATAGTCCTACCCATTCCAATATGATTTCCACATCCACCACACCAAATATTGTATGGCATTTCAAATCTAGAGTGTTAAAATAATGCATTTTGATAATGAAATATAGAAGATACACATGACCTCAGAAACAGGTAAACAATAAACAATTAAAATAAAATAAAAAGTTGAGGTAGTGTGCATCAGTGCTGAAGAAATGCATCTTGCACAGAGCTGCATTATGCTGTGTATCCGTGCTAAGCTGTGGTGTGCGGCCGTCAGTGCTGAGCTACCCATGCTAACCTGATAACCAAAATTCCTTGAGAAAGTTTTTTTGCTCTTTCACGGAGAGGATGTTGGCCAACATGTTTGTTGACAGAACCCTGAAAATATTCAACTTAAATGTTAATTATTGTTTATTCATTTTACACAAGAGATTACATTTTTTTAAAATAGTTTTTTTATTATATCTATATTGCAAACCATATCACCTTGGTTGGATCCCAATCAGGAGGATAATACTTGTTAACTGCTTTTCGTTCTGCCTGTTGATAGAGAAAATCATTATCCCCAGCAAAAGAAAAAAACAAATAAAATGGTTCAAAATCTTTCGAACAATTGTAGTGATGCAGTATTAAGCATGCTTACTGCTTGTAGAATTTACAATGTATTTCATTTAAATACGCTGGAAAATAAATCAATCATGTGAAATACATGTGGATATTCTGATAGGCAATGAGTTTAAATGACCATATCAAGATTGAAGATGACAAGTCATAATTTTACTGTAACGAAATCACTGTATTTTAATCTAGATGGGCTGATAGACGACGCAAATATTTGGCAATAAATGTAACAGCTTTACAACAATACTCTTGCTAATAATATACATACCATTTTATTAACAATATTATCTTTCACAACTTTCTTATTTTTATTTTTATTTTTATTTTTGTCAACCTTTTCAGTCTTCTCTTGCTAATGCTGACAGTACTTTATATAAGACAAATAAAATGGCTATATAATAGAAGTTCTATTTCTGTTCGGCGTCGACCATGGTGACGCCTGACGGCCCCCCTCCCCCTGAAATATTTGTCCTTCACTCCTTTAAACTCATATCCACCTTTCTATAAATTTCAGTTTACTGATTCAATTTCGAAAATATTTGGTTGTGCAATTCCCGACGACAGGTTGGTGGCCAACCGCCGTAAACGTGACGCAGGTTTTACAATACGCATTTGCAGCAATTTAATAGTAGAGGTTGATCTTCATCCTACTTTGTGCATTGCCCGCTACAAAAAATATTGCGAGACCTGACGCAATTTTCCTGCAACTTGTATCGCAACAGTCATAGCCAGTCATTGCGAGACAACTCAGTGAAGTTGAAAGAAAAATTGGATGGTGGTGGAAAAAAGCAAGCGCATGGAGTTAGCAAGGTACATCCCTCATAACCCGAAATATATTGCGGAAACTGACCTATTATACTCTACCAGACTACGACCATTTAGTAGTAGTAAACCTACAAATTATTTACGAGGCAAGTTGTCAAAATTACAAAATACATAGGATCGATACATTACAGTCTAGAGACCCTCTTTACAATCACTCTCCAGAATGTAAATGGAAATACAAAAGTTGCTGTAATTCAATTTATTTATTTAAAATAATGTAGAAAATCGCACTTTATTTGTGCTTTATTACAACTTTTAGGCATAAAGACGCTGTTACACTAGGCAATTGTTTGTGCAACTTACAATGCAATTCTACGTTTGAAACATCTCCAGGTCTAAAAAGTTGGCAAATACAACATTACATGCAGTCTTTTTGATGGTATTCTGTGGCTCTGCTGACTTAACATTTCGAGTACTCTTACTAATTACATAACATCTCTCAAAATTACAATTGCATTGCAAGTTGCAAACAAAATTGCATAGTGTAACAGTGCCTTAAATTAAATACACCCACGACCATAAGTAACCGAATTAAATATATTTTGATATTTTGAACCGATTCTATTGTTCTGAGAACGCTTTAATTAAGTGCAATTACTTACAGACCAACTTACAGACCAGTAGCCGAAAATTTAGTCTTATAATTATGCTCATTATTTTTACAGAAACATTTTGAAATGAATTATTATTATAAAAATATTCTCTGTCCCATTTCTATACTGCATTCAAATCAAGCATCTTGAAAACTTCAGCACTCGGAAATTAGCAAGGTCCCAAAACATTGTTACTGGATACATGTAAAATAATGCGAGAAGAAAACTCAAAACTCGTAGGCATAAAAAAACAGGAACCATTTCTAATAAATTATTTCACTTACTGTTAAGATAGCGTAATTTGTAGTGTTTGACCAGCTGTTACTACCAGCACGGTTTCCACGGATTTCGCGAATGATTTCACAAGAGCGTCGGGAAAACTCAGGATTATTTTATCCTTTTCCTAAAATATACGATATGAGGTATATTGTGAAAATGAAAAATGCATGATCATATTTCTTTTGATAGTATGTAGTAGTGCATTTCGAAATGGAATGGAATGGAATTTCCAAATGAAGCGCGCTAGTTTTGAATTTTGAAGGGACACGGTGATCGGTGATCCTTAGTGGGTTTGTGTGTATTACGGTGAATGGTGCTACTGTGTTTCGAGGGATTTTCTCCGAGGACCCCGGTTCCTCTCGAAATAACCCCCTATAGGAATTAGACACTACAAATAATTAACAGCCAACATAAAACCGTTTCTATATCACTAGAGACGAAAAACTTGTCAGTCGTGAATCCGGCAGCAGACGAGTTTTCTCGTCTTTTCCAAATCTCTTTTGAAACCTTTCAAGGACAAAAGTTGCTTTAACCGCACAAAACCAATTAAATAAATAATAGGCGGGTTTTCGTCCCTAAATTCAAAAGACGAACTCTTATAATCGAGACTGGTAAGAACCCATGCAGTTAGTATAAGGGAGGTGGAGTAAATAAAGCGCTCGCTAAACCTAAAGCAAGCTGCTTATACGCTAACCTTAGTAAGAGTTGTCTTGATTTCTTTGCCATCAATTTCTGCTTTGGCTGATGTGAAGTTCATAACAAGTCCCAGTGTTACAATGTCAACCTCTCCAAACAAGACAGAAAGCTGCAAGCAAATATAGATAAAAAATACTTATACTTATTTTTGTTAAAAAAGCGCGGTGTAGACTTGGCTTCTTAAATATTTATGATCTATGTATAATTACCTGAACATCTGCAGTATTGCTGATTGTCTGACTATATGTTCCCCAACCAGACCCAACAATAAAGAAACTTTTGAACTTATCTTGATTGCATATTGGAGCAAAGTTGAGTCTTAGTGCTTTTTCACCAATAGCAAGAATGTCCCATGTCTAAATAACGAAGAACAAAAACAGTCACAAACAGTCAAAGACTTTTAGCCCTTGGGGCTGCGCAAAGAAAAAAATATAAACAATTCCAGTCGCGTATTTTTGTTTATGAATTTCCAAAACTAAGTTGTGATTTCAGGAGTACAACGATGATTCAGTAGTATGAAACTAAACTATACCTACCATTCCTGCACCGATTTCAAAATAGAGAAATGCCGCCATTGCTCGAGCATAGTGATCACCACATTCGATTTCATTCCAAGGACTTCGTCTTGTTCCATCATATTTCTCACGACATTCTTCGACAACTGAAATAAAATTACACCACATCCTGAAAACTATCTTCCTTAAAGACAGATAAAAATTATAGTGACAACAAAAATAAAAGAATACATAACTATATACGAAAAGAGTTCAGGAATTCCAGCAATGCAATGTCAGAGCCTCAACATAGCGACACACGACATCACAAACTAGTAAACTCACCCTGAAAACCAGTAGCATTGAAGTTTTCATAGAGCAACAATCCTGCAAACGAATGCTCCATTCCAGACCATGCACCCTGAGATAGAAAACAATAAATTTATTTTATAAAGCCACGAAGTGACTGTAACACTCCGCCTTTATCGATAAAATAACTTAGATTCCGCCTTTTTATTTCACTTCTACTGTTTCGAGCATCGAAACGTCAACTTTTTTCAAGACAACACCAACCTATAGATGAGGATTTCTGTATGCTGGACATTACTGGTGACACAGACTTTGAACACATAAAATTATACTTTGATAAATTTCAAAATTTTAGGCAAATCGGCAACGGGGGATCAAAGGAAAAATCCTAATTTTCGTAAATTTTTTGAAATTTCAAAATTCGGTTGAAAATACGTCGAAATACTTCAGAATTAAGCACAATTGCATTCTTTCATGAAAGCAATACATTTGAAGTCACACAGTTGTGTGTTATAACACAAGCAAAGGCAATAAAATATGATTGATTACTGTAGTAATTAGGCCGACTGATTTTTGAACAGCGAAGTTTCCTGGAGAGCAAAAGTAGATTATTACAGCCTGCATGGCTATTTACCTCAAGACTGTACATCAAGGGCACCTTGGGAATTTCCTCGCCAGCTTTAACATCCCAATACGCCATGTGAAGTCCTTTATCGCGGGCATCAAAATATTGTCTTGGCAACTGTACTGTTAAAAAATGGCAAATATGTATAGGTCTCCACAAAGGATATTTCATTTTTGTTCTTATTATAAGACAGAATGTCTAGATCCTGGTCAAGCGGGAGTATAATTAAAGAAGTATATTATTATTAGACATAACTTACCAAAGTCAAAAGAGTCAACGTGGTTTCGTTTAAACACCCAGCTTAAATGGGACTGTATGTGGTCTCGAGGAAGCAGAGGACCAAGGCCAAGGGAATAAGCCCACCATTGACCGAGCAGCGCATCAACAAATGTAGCTATAAACATAGAGAGATGAAAGTTCAAAATGGAATTATCATTAGAATTCATATCATGATTAGAATGTACGTGTATTTTAACTCCTAAAGGGAAGAAGATTTATGTTTTGACCTAATGAATGATTTACTTTATTTTACTTTTGTCAAATTACGTACAGCTACAACAGTTATACTCACCACAACCCAGTGATTCTTCTGGATGTGACTGGGGGGTAACCTAAAAATTCAAACACGCCAAGATTGGATGAAATTTTATATGAGAGAAACTATATGTTTTATATACTTTGTTTAGCAAAACGGCGAAATTGGGACAAGCCCTATGATATACAAACTAAGTGAATCTTCGCGTCCTCGACCTTACAAACGTGTCTAGCCCGATAGAAGTGCATGCACTTTCCACGTGGTCATTTTGAGAAACAGATCTAACACACATGTCTTATCACATCAAAGCATATACACTGTGTAATAAATTACCTGCGTGTACCACTTTCCATTTGAGAAGCAATATTGATCAAGATTGTTGGAACCAATCTGGAAGCGCTGATGATAAATTTGAGCAAGGTCCTGGGAATAATTGTACAGTAATATAATAAATAATATTGAAAATATAGAGTATAGCATTCAGATTGTCTACTACATGTATACTCCCTAATATTTCAAATGTTATCTATTTTTGGAATTCACCAGTGATAAAATAGTTCAGGATACCGGTTTGTGATAAGGGTATAGGTCAAGTCTTTTTAATATTTTTTCATTGCCCTTTAGGATCTGATGATTGCCATAGTGAAACGCCAAGCGCGCAAAGGATCACTGTCGTGATATTCACTATAGCTATAATTATTTTGAAGATTATAATCTATAATGCCCTTGTGCGTGCAATCGCGCGAATAATAATATGTAAAATGGAGAGTATACTCACATCTTCGCCCATCAATTTTGCCATCTCCTCTGCGGCCCTTGAATAAAAAATATGAATAGTGAATAGTGTATTATATCCCCATATACTGCAGCAGGGTTTCAAATGGCCTGCATATCCTGTCTGAATGCAAAGAAGATGATACCTTAATGCACACAGGTACAAACATCCAATGAATGTATCTATTCCATAAGTTCCACGATCATAAGTGCATGGTTGGGCGCCAGTTAACAGACCTGAAGGTTAAACCATTCCAATCCGTAAGTTAACTGGTTAAGTTCAGCCAGTGCTCCTTAGTCTACTGATTTACCTTGTTTTTTGCTGTCCAATTTATTCATATAGCGCTCCATCATTGCTTTGATTTTTGGCCAGACTTTGTCAACGAAATCTTGAGGAGCAATTTGACGAATCTAGAAAATTTTTACTATTTTAGTGCCAAAACTGCACGAAAGATTTTTTTATTACGTCTTTATTGAATGTCTAGAATTAGTTTGGCAAATTTACGCAGGAGGGTGTGCCTGCATGGGTCAGTCTTTCCTATCTTTTTAACAAAACGTTGAGGTGGTTGAGTGCAGTCAAAATGAAATTGTTGGGACAAATTCATCATGGATGGAAGTTATTCTTCATTTCAAAACCACAATATCCCTTAGCATATAGTATCACAGTATCAAAAGTTTATAGTATCCCTTAATAGCGTCCATGTCGTATTGCTAAGAAGACTTCCTAACTCAAACCTTTCCCCAAAAGAGCGGATTAAAGTTAAAATCTCTGAACCTACAGGGAGGCTTCCAAGAATACGTATGAATCGTTTACCTCACGGTAAGTCTTCAGGACAGTTCCCAGATCCCCATCAAGACAAATTCTGGTTGATGATAAATCAACAGGGTCATCTTTATTACACCAGTCCCAGTCCTCCCACTCCCGCTTGACTAACAAAGGCATTGTTGTACGGCTATGAAAGAAAAGACAAATCATGCTGAGGTTTGGTGAAGCATAGCACTCCAGTGTCAACAGTAGACAGTCAAACGCAAGAATCGAAAGACATGCAAATTGACAGTTAATTGTGGTCTTTCTTAGAGTTTCCAGTTCATTGAACCTTGAACTGTTGAAGCCACTGTTCAAATTTTGGGATTACATACCTGGAAAAAGCTACTAACCTGGGCATGATAGCGTTTGGCGCAATATTGTAAAGAAGATCGATGTTTCTCATTCTTCGTTCAAGGTCAGGAAAACATCTGCATGAATAAAAATTCTTACTTAGTTAATGTGCCATAAATTTCAAACTCACCAAATTCTGACCATTTTTATTCACCTAAAATATCATTATTAATAATGAATCTACAGTGAAATTATACTTGCAGATTAATCATCTCGTAGTAAGTTAATACATGCGTTCGTGAGTTTTCCAGGACAAATTTAATGCAACAAACTTCCCATGAAGGGTTTTTATCCGCTACCTGCGGACGCAGTGTTAAAAATATAAAATCTATACCTTGAAAGAGCCATTTCATAATTCAAGACATGAGTGCAGTTCATTGGGCAACAACCTGGTAAATGTTCACAATAAAACTCACTTAGAACGGAATGTTCTACAAAAAACAACGACAAAATGTTTTTCAGAAATACGAATAGTTTCCTTACCTTGGTTAGGATGACAACCTAGAAAACACAAAAACTGTTAGCTAAAGCACCCGTGAAGAGATTTGTAATCCTGTACAGTTTTATTGACAGTACTCAAGCGTCCCTATTGTTGACTTCCCTGTGTGAAAATCTACTAAACTATTGTAAATCTTTACATGAAGAAATACGGACCGACTAAACTGGTAAATAATAGATTTATTTTTTTAATTACCCGCCCCCCGTGCGTACGGCCTCATACGGACTGCTTGCGTAGCCAATCAGATTGCAGGAAACGCAAAAATATGAATTCGGACCGCAAGAAAAAAAATAAATATAATTATTCAAAGTGCAAATGACTGACCTTCAAAACAGTACAAATAGGAATCCTCTAACCACATGAATGTCGGAGTTCTGATGATATCATAAAATAATATTTATATCAATGTTTACAGATATGTTTTAAATCGCCTTGTACAATGACGTCACTTGTATCTACCTCGGTACAGAAACTCGTCCCGCTGCACTGTCAATTAATTGCCATGGTAATGACGATTCAAACATCGCGTCACGAAACTGTCGCGTCATTGTTGTGAAACTTCCAATGTTTTGACCAGTGTGCGATATGACCTACGTGCGATTAGAAAAATAATCTTAAACACCGTAAAGTTCTATTATTCTAAAACGATGAATAAATCCTTCTCTGAAAAATTATAAACAGAACATCGAAAAAACTGCACCTCTTTTACATTTGGCCACAGCTTGTTGTAGTAATTCCCCAAATAATAAAAACTTTTTGAATCAGTTACAGGTCCCCATTCACCCCACTTGCAATATCTGAAGAAAATATGAAATACACTTGGGCAAAAAACTAAAGTAAGGTTAAATCTCTATCATATACGAATCGAAATACACTGTACTCCGAACACTCCGTTAAATGATATGAAAAAAAGACAAAACAACCTAAATACCTGTACGGAAAATGCCATGATAAAAGAAAGGTGAAAGTCTATACAAAATAATGCAGTTAAATTGTCAGTTGTCACTTAATCCCCTATAAAAGATTCCAGTATGGTATATTGGTTTAGTATCATTTCTCCCGAGGACATTTCGGAGGACATTTCCCGAGAAAAGATCGATGACCATCATAAAAGTACAGATACTGTACCTCGCTTGCCCCTGCTTGAATTTCTCTGCGACAACTAAGTGCTCCAATCCATGTTTTTAATTTCTATAAAATGGATATCCATTTGGTGAGTTTCGATCAATACTACAGGTCGAATGCGAAGTGGTCAACAACATTCATCAATTTCTTCATAAATCTTGCTGAAGTCAGCTGTACACTTCATGCGGTTAGAGATAATATTCCTACATATTTTATATATGGGAATAATTTTTCTGTATTTTTCCATAAACACGTTGACTGTGCAAAAGGTTTGAGCGACTACTACCACAAGCCATAGACAATAGTTGTTCGCTGGAAAGTTCAGAGAGAAAGAAAGAGAAAAAGAACAACTCAAACAATGCGATATGACATAAGTATCTTACGTCAGATGGTCCATTTTGCCCTTGTCCTCCTGACAGTCCAGTTGGTGACGTGAAATCCTCCCACATTCCCTTCACATCAGTAAATTGCAACAGACACGACTTGACATCCTCATCTTTATGGAACACTAAGTATTATAAGAAACACGTTGCAGTGACACTGTATAGATAAGCTTTGAACTCTACCATGGAATTGAAAAAACTGCTGCTCTTTATGGAATCCATCGTTAACCTGTGACAATTAACTAACTATAGGTGGACAGAGAACATCTTTGATAACAAAGATCACCTGCAGAATTACTGATCTCAATGCATAAGCTTTGCCTGGCATTTGATGCACTACTGCCTGGGAGTCTCGTGCAATTATAAGCTTATTAATCCTCCAACGGGTGACAATTTCTCTGCTCCCTGTTTCTTGAATATCATACCCCATACGAAACCTCACAGGACTGAAGAATAGATTATTCCATCCTAATCATCCTAAACAGTTGTTCACTGACCTCCGATAGATAATTCTCCATTCGTACTACGTTTATCATCCATTTCAATGTTGTTCATGTAAATACCATAGTACCCACTAAAGAGATAAAAAGCGAGGATATCCTCAAAATGGATACACTGGTCTTAAAGTTGAGTGTGTTTTACAGGTAAGATAACAGCAGAGCATGCATGCTTCTACACTTTCAAATGGCAAAAAGCAAAGTGCTTTTTGTTTACTAATCTTTTTCTTGACAGATCTTTGCTTATAGATTGTGTAATACCAACTACCTTATTTCTTTATATTCAGGAACCTCAGCGGCATTTATGTTTCCTCCATATGAGTACAGAGTGTTTTGATTCCCGCCAGGAGTGTTAGGCATATTATCTACAAGATGAAGTACACAACATTTGATAAAGTATATTCCGTTTATCGTATATGTGTTTTAGCATAGGTAGTGTGATGCTGGATGGGGCTGCTATGATTTAGTAGCCCGAATTTCTACGTTTGCAACCATCTATCTCCACTAATTAGTGGGTTCTCCATTTTACAGTTGACATTCCCAAACCTTCCTCATCCCAAACCTTGCTGAGCACATCTGTTTTATATAATCATTCAGCAAGTGAATGCCTCAATATGCAAACTAAAGCTCTGTTAAATACACGAAGGTACGAACATACTCCATGGATGTACATGTGAACAGATGTAAAATAAAACATGCAGACAAATACAAACCAGTTTCAATGGTTGACAGACCATCCCAGCCAATGAAATTCAAAAGTGAAGTCAACATTGTTACCTGATGAACAATATAATCAGGAGAAAATATGAAGAATCATATTGCGAACAGATCTACTTATCTACAGTATCAGGGAGTGTTTTTATTGGACATAAAAGTTTTCTTAACTCAGACAGAGTGCGAATCCAAATAATAAAGCGTTTTAATTGAAGAGTTTTCATCTTCAATTACTACATTAAATAAAGCAAACTGATGGATTATCAATAATCAACGAATATTTGCAATAATTTGCTTACCTTCACTGGCTTATCAGACGGATTGGTGACAGTGTAGTTGAAAATGATCATCGGTATAGCGCTGTCATTTGCATTCAATGGAATACAAGGATTGAATGCTTCAAGATGAACCTGGACAGGAACCTCAGTGCTTGTTACGTCAACTAGAAATAACGTAATCATATATTTTGTTTTAAAATACATTATCATTCAGTCGTATTCAGAGGTTAGACATTTTTAAAAAATCGTTAATCGTTAGTTAATTATTACGATAAGTTAACACACAAAATGTTAATTTTGCGTAACTATATACAGTTTCTATAATTTCCATACAAAACAAAATTCTTTTCAATTCAAACGTTTCGAAACAACCGTTATAGTGAAACCTACAGTACGTGTAGTGGGTGTATTCCAGGTGAAAGAGTAATTTCATTGTTCACCTTCAGCAATCGGATATTTAGCTGTCACTTCAATTGTTTTTACACCAGGAAGTGTTTTCAGGAGCTCCTTGGACGCCTCTGGTACAACTACAATGTCAAAAAAATGAATGTGAAACACTTGGTTACTGTTTTAGATTCGTGTATACTGACTTAAACTAACTTCGTATAAAGCATCCAGACGATCACGTTTTTTAACAAAATGTTTAGTAATATTTCGTAGGAAGATCAACTAGTGCACATGTGTTCATGCATAGGCTTGGCAGGTCCCAGTGCATGCAAGTGTGGGGTCATGATTTACCAACAAGATTCATGCACTTAAGAATCTCACAAGTCTATCACTGGTCGCCGTTAAATCTCTATCATTCCTAAACCGCGACTTCCGCTGTGGAACCTAACAATCCATGCAGTCGGCTGTGATTTGTAAATCAGAGTAGGTTAAGATAAAAAGATTTTCAAACTAAGGATAATTATGTTATAGTGCTAAACATTCGTAAAGTCATTCATAAGCTTGTGAGCATACTGTGTGAACTCCTGATCAGACTTACTATGATCTTGCACAATAGGTGCAGGATGAAAACCAGATTCATCGTACCACATGTTTGATTGAAGAACTACAGAGTTTGCAGCATTGGTAGATTCATCCTCAACTCTGTTTATAAAAAGTGTTTGGATTAATAATTGATGGGAATTTTTCATAGGGATACACAGAGTGCAATGTACATAACCTTGATCAAATTAATCATTATCAATCATAATTATCCAGGTCTTCGATCGGTACATGTAGGGAACAGTATTCCCAATTCCTGAAATCACATCACTAGCTAGTGATAATACCACTACTACCACTACCGTAATATAATACGTACTTGATTGCAAAGAAGGAGTTAGGTACATGAGCGAGGTGACAAACTTCATTGACTACTTGCCATTCACGCAATCCACCATCTCCTGCTAGGGCAATACTTCCACCTCCTATACAAATTAGACCAAAAGATAGTGAATTTAAATTTTTATTTCATAGTGAATTTAAATTATTATTTCAATCACATGTTCAAATTATTGGAAATAATGAACCCAGTGATATTATAATGAACCTTTAATGATAGAACAAAAATATTTGAACAAAAATTAGTACACTGCAACTTGCTTGTGTATCAGGTAAAAAATCCTTAGGTAGTGCTTTTCCTACACAAATGAGAAAGTTACCTATTGGTCCAAGTGGAAGAGTAACAGCTCTAAGTGCCTCGTCAGCATATTTGTAGGAAGAACTTTGGGGATTCACTCTGTTATTGTACAATGAAAGAATATAAATTTTAAACTAAAGACTGTCTCCTGTGTCAAATAAATCTCACAATTTCTTGTTAAATTAAGGAATCATTTTTCACACTGTCATCAACATATTCATATACAACATAATCACTCACTTTCTTTCTGGAACAGGTCCATCAATAATCTGATTATCAGGCATAGGTCTCTCATAACAACACCAAGGGTCACTAGAGAAGGTGAAGGTATATATTATATACAGTCTGGAATCACTGTTTCAGTGCATTTGTGAAATATGCCAAAACAAAAAAGGCAAACATACCGGAAGCAGCAGTCAGGTTTGATATTTGCTGATTGTTCTGCAACACTATCAGTGGAAACTGCTTCGATGTGTAATATCAACTCATCTCTCGACCTTGTACTACAAGCTGCTATTGCCTCTTTCCATTCATCTTCAGTACACCCCTAATTTAAATATTTACAAGGCAATTAGTACAATGCAATGGTGATTATGGACAGAATTTTGGGGCAAGCTGGTGTGGGTGCATATTCATACACCCTGCAAATTAAATCCTGCACCTCATTTAAACAAATTTTAAATCCATCCAGATATTCTCCTCAAGAAAAGAGACAGTAAAAAAGTCATTATAAAAACTGCAGCACTCTAATATTGGCTAAGATTCCAAAATCTAAAAAGCTAAAGATTAATGAATGGAAATGATCAAAATGATATGTTGTATTTTAGTTCATTTTCCAATAATTGTAGAGAAATGGTTAGTATTTACTATAGAAGTTGAATTTACTTGTAGAACTATAGATAAATCTTTAGACCAGTAAGAATTAGTTTTAGCCCTGTGATTGAGAAACTCAAATCAAAAACAATCAGAACAAACTGCTTCCAAAAGTTTATTGACTGGACTGCCGAATGTGGATTGTGTTATACAATGAAACATTATGGTATTAAGCAGAAGTGGTAAAACTTTGAATAACTTCTCAACTGGCTAGCAACTAAAAGATCCCAACTAAAGGCTTTCATTTTTCACTTTCTCTCTAAATGTCAAGAATTATAATCAAGTCAAAAATCTTACAGAAATGTAGTCAGCATCTTCATCCAAGTATTGGAATGCAAGTGATTTGGTGAAGGAATTGTTTACTTTTTCTTTGATTAGTCCACATACATCAGACCAACTAAATGTAGTTAGAAAGTATATAAGAGAGATGCATGAAGCCTGCTACTTGTGAGAAGTGTACTTCGCATTCCTTCTGCAACCCCCTTTGCATGGCCAGTTCTGCTAGGTTGTCTACAGCACTTTCCTACCGCATTGGAGAGTTTAAAAACCAGCCCCTGTTATTTGAATTAACATCTAAATAGTTTCACCTCGAACACTATATTAAAGCTACATTACTTGTATTACAATATATAAAACGTGTTACATTTATTGCTAAAAAACTGCGACACAGTCATATGACAGAACCATCCTCATTCAGACCTCAGAGATATGAAATATAAATAAATATGACGTTCATTGCCATTGGTTCATATCTACGTTTTTACCTTAATTCACAACCAAAACGTACCTTGTGTCATCCTGAACATTAAGTGAAATATTTTGATTGGTTTCCAACACATTCAAAGGATTCACATGAACATATATGCGAAGCTTTTGACTCATGTTTGTTTTGCTTCAAGAATATTCCACTGAAATAAATATCATCATAACATATGAGTATAATACGATACCTGAACCTTCCCACGATCCATCCCACCCTGATCCCACGACATTTTAACATTTAGTTCCTCTGTGATCTCACGATCTTCGGTATCCATTCATGACCCTCAATTCCTGCAATGACAGCCTTTACAAAAACTTTCTAGTAATAAAAATTTAGAAACGAATACAAAATTATATGTAGATATTTGTAATAATAAAACAAAAAACAAAATTCCTATGGGTTGAGGACGCTCCAGGGTGTGATCTGAAAACTACGAGATCCAAAAGCATGTCGTGTGTGTAGGTTGGCGGGTGCTTGGCTCTGGCTAGTGCGTTATCCCACGCTTGAGGCCTTAGGTCCTAAACTTAACCTAGTGGAGTTTATCAACACTCCGGGTGTACATCTGAAAACTACGAGATCCAAAAGCATGTCGTGTGTGTAGGTTGGTAGGTGCTTGGCTCTGGCTAGTGCGTTTATCCCACGCTTGAGGCCTTAGGTCCTATACTTAACCTAGTGGAGTTTATCAACACTCCGGGTGTACATCTGAAAACTACGAGATCCAAAGGCATTTCGTGTGTGTAGGTTGGTAGGTGCTTGGCTCTGGCTAGTGCGTTTATCCCACGCTTGAGGCCTTAGGTCCTAAACTTAACCTAGTGGAGTTTATCAACACTCCGGGTGTACATCTGAAAACTACGAGATCCAAAAGCATGTCGTGTGTGTAGGTTGGCGGGTGTTTGGCTCTGGCTAGTGCGTTTATCCCACGCTTGAGGCCTTAGGTCCTAAACTTAACCTAGTGGAGTTTATCAACACTCCGGGTGTACATCTGAAAACTACGAGATCCAAAAGCATGTCGTGTGTGTAGGTTGGCGGGTGCTTGGCTCTGGCTAGTGCGTTTATCCCACGCTTGAGGCCTTAGGTCCTAAACTTAACCTAGTGGAGTTTATCAACACTCCGGATGTACATCTGAAAACTACGAGATCCAAAAGCATGTCCTGTGTGTAGGTTGGTAGGTGCTTGGCTCTGGCTAGTGCGTTTATCCCACGCTTGAGGCCTTAGGTCCTATACTTAACCTAGTGGAGTTTATCAACACTCCGGGTGTACATCTGAAAACTACGAGATCCAAAAGCATGTCGTGCGTGTAGGTTGGTAGGTGCTTGGCTCTGGCTAGTGCGTTTATCCCACGCTTGAGGCCTTAGGCCCTATACTTAACCTAGTGGTGTTTATCAACACTCCGGGTGTACATCTGAAAACTACGAGATCCAAAAGCATGTCGTGCGTGTAGGTTGGTAGGTGCTTGGCTCTGGCTAGTGCGTTTATCCCACGCTTGAGGCCTTAGGTCCTATACTTAACCTAGTGGAGTTTATCAACACTCCGGGTGTACATCTGAAAACTACGAGATCCAAAAGCATGTCGTGTGTGTAGGTTGGTGGGTGCTAGGCTCTGGCTAGTGCGTTTATCCCAGGCTTGAGGCCTTAGGTCCTATACTTAACCTAGTGGAGTTTATCAACTCTCCGGGTGTACATCTGAAAACTACGAGATCCAAAGGCAATTCGTGTGTGTAGGTTGGTGGGTGTTTGGCTCTGGCTAGTGCGTTTATCCCACGCTTGAGGCCTTAGGTCCTATACTTAACCTAGTGGAGTTTATCAACACTCCGGGTGTACATCTGAAAACTACGAGATCCAAAAGCATGTCGTGTGTGTAGGTTGGTAGGTGCTTGGCTCTGGCTAGTGCGTTTATCTCACGCTTGAGGCCTTAGGTCCTATACTTAACTTAGTGGAGTTTATCAACACTCCGGGTGTACATCTGAAAACTACGAGATCCAAAAGCATGTCGTGTGTGTAGGTTGGTGGGTGCTTGGCTCTGGCTAGTGGGTTTATCCCAGGCTTGAGGCCTTAGGTCCTATACTTAACCTAGTGGAGTTTATCAACACTCCGGGTGTACATCTGAAAACTACGAGATCCAAAAGCATGTCGTGTGTGTAGGTTGGTAGGTGCTTGGCTCTGGCTAGTGCGTTTATCCCACGCTTGAGGCCTTAGGTCCTATACTTAACCTAGTGGAGTTTATCAACACTCCGGGTGTACATCTGAAAACTACGAGATCCAAAGGCATGTCGTGTGTGTAGGTTGGTGGGTGTTTGGCTCTGGCTAGTGCGTTTATCCCACGCTTGAGGCCTTAGGTCCTATACTTAACTTAGTGGAGTTTATCAACACTCCGGGTGTACATCTGAAAACTACGAGATCCAAAGGCAATTCGTGTGTGTAGGTTGGTGGGTGTTTGGCTCTGGCTAGTGCGTTTATCCCACGCTTGAGGCCTTAGGTCCTATACTTAACCTAGTGGAGTTTATCAACACTCCGGGTGTACATCTGAAAACTACGAGATCCAAAAGCATGTCGTGTGTGTAGGTTGGTGGGTGCTTGGCTCTGGTTAGTGCGTTTATCCCACGCTTGAGGCCTTAGGTCCTATACTTAACTTAGTGGAGTTTATCAACACTCCGGGTGTACATCTGAAAACTACGAGATCCAAAAGCATGTCGTGTGTATAGGTTGGTGGGTGCTTGGCTCTGGCTAGTGCGTTTATCCCACGCTTGAGGCCTTAGGTCCTATACTTAACCTAGTGGAGTTTATCAACACTCCGGGTGTACATCTGAAAACTACGAGATCCAAAAGCATGTCGTGTGTGTAGGTTGGTAGGTGCTTGGCTCTGGCTAGTGCGTTTATCCCACGCTTGAGGCCTTAGGTCCTATACTTAACTTAGTGGAGTTTATCAACACTCCGGGTGTACATCTGAAAACTACGAGATCCAAAGGCATTTCGTGTGTGTAGGTTGGTGGGTGTTTGGCTCTAGCTAGTGCGTTTATCCCACGCTTGAGGCCTTAGGTCCTAAACTTAACCTAGTGGAGTTTATCAACACTCCGGGTGTACATCTGAAAACTACGAGATCCAAAAGCATGTCGTGTGTGTAGGTTGGTAGGTGCTTGGCTCTGGCTAGTGGGTTTATCCCACGCTTGAGGCCTTAGGTCCTATACTTAACCTAGTGGAGTGTATCAACACTCCGGGTGTACATCTGAAAACTACGAGATCCAAAAGCATGTCGTGTGTGTAGGTTGGTAGGTGCTTGGCTCTGGCTAGTGCGTTTATCTCACGCTTGAGGCCTTAGGTCCTATACTTAACTTAGTGGAGTTTATCAACACTCCGGGTGTACATCTGAAAACTACGAGATCCAAAAGCATGTCGTGTGTGTAGGTTGGTGGGTGCTTGGCTCTGGCTAGTGGGTTTATCCCAGGCTTGAGGCCTTAGGTCCTATACTTAACCTAGTGGAGTTTATCAACACTCCGGGTGTACATCTGAAAACTACGAGATCCAAAAGCATGTCGTGTGTATAGGTTGGTGGGTGCTTGGCTCTGGCTAGTGCGTTTATCCCACGCTTGAGGCCTTAGGTCCTATACTTAACCTAGTGGAGTTTATCAACACTCCGGGTGTACATCTGAAAACTATGAGATCCAAAAGCATTTTGTGTGTGTAGGTTGGTAGGTGCTTGGCTCTGGTTAGTGCGTTTATCCCACGCTTGAAACCTTAGGTCCTATACTTAACTTAGTGGAGTTTATCAACACTCCGGGTGTACATCTGAAAACTACGAGATCCAAAAGCATTTCGTGTGTGTAGGTTGGTAGGTGCTTGGCTCTGACTAGTGCGTTTATCTCATCTGATGTGCATCTGGACACTATAGGGTTCATCACCATCCCAGTCAGCCTTTCTAATTAAAAATGTACAGTATAGCTATATTTTCGTTACAGAATAGAGACATTTAACTTAACCAATACGGCAAACCGCGCTTTTCGATAATTACGTCGCAACACTATATTGCCTTAAATTTAGAAACTTAAATGAGATGGATATTTTCCCAAGTCAAGTATTCATTTTGACAAATCAGTATGGAAATACGCCATAACGCGTGAACGTGTCCACATTTATTGGACAAAATTCTAAGATGTGTCGTAAATGCCAAGATAAAGGTCTCTATTCTGCTTTTAATTGATACTCAAAGTTGCATAACCCCCCTCTGGCCTAGGCAAGAGGGGGTCCGCCCCTTCCTGCACCCCCAGTAAATGCATCCAAATTCAAAACCATGGAATTGTAGGCGCATTTCGTTTTAAAAAGGGCTATTTGTGCGTACACGAACGTATAAAAATTTGTCATTATAAATTAGCACATGCATGCTAAAACTACTTTGTTTAAAACTAGCATGTTTAAAACTAGTTTAAAAAACGTTAATAAACGTACCTTATATCTTCACGACTTCGAAATAGGAATAGTAAAAACAGCAAAGAAAGAGTTACCTTCTATTAGCATCTTATGTCCGGTACAAAGATTCAATCCAAACGTTAGCGTTTTATACTCATCACTGCACTTGTCCTTGATATTTTCCAGAATATATTTCGACTTTTCGTAGTTTCTTTTCGGATCGGGATGAACGTTCAACCAACCCCAAGAGGTAATATATATCCATCAAACTATTGAGAAGATGTAGGTTCGGTGATGCTTTCTTCTGAGGATTTTTTAATGTATTTTTTTCTTCTTCAAACTTAACTTGTTTCATTTGTATATAAGTCTGTATACTACTTTTCTTTCATTCTAAAACGTTTTAAAATGAAACGATATTTTAACAATTAAGATTTCAACAAAAAAAAGGGAAGGACATGAAAAAGAAAGTGACAACGAGGATTCGTACATTCTCTGATTTTATTTGACACTGTGACCTTGTTATTTTGGTTGACTCAGAAATAGTTTTATGGGTAAACTTTAGAGCATATTTACGGCCAAAAATCCCCCAGAAAAAGTGTACAAAGTGTACACTATTTTTGTCCGTATGTCTAGATAACTTTGAAATTTGTCGGAGAGCTATACACTGCTAAAGACTAAAGACAACATGAAGACTAATTCAAATAATAACATACCTTCTGGACAAAGACTGTTTGACTCTATCGGGTACCAAAAAATGCCATATTGAATAGTACGGCTTTCGGCCAATGGCCGCATA